GAAACCAGCTTGGCCAACATGGTGAAGCCCTATCTCTACTAAAAATACAAAAATTAGCTGCTGGGTGTGGTGGCAGACGCCTGTATTCCCAGCTACTTCAGAGCTGAGAGCAGAAGAATCCCTTGAACCCAGGAGGTGGAGGTTGTTGTGAGCTGAGATTGTGCCATTGCACTTTAGCCTGGGTGACAGAGCGAGACTCTCTCTCTCAAAAAAAAAAATTAATTAATTTTATGTTAAAAAGCATATGGGAGGTTGTGCATAGGTTATATGCAAATACTGTGCCATTTTGTATAAGCAGCTTGAACACCTGTGGATTTTGGTATCCTTGGGGGTCCTGGAATCAATCCCCTGTGGATACTAAGGGACAATTATATTCAAAAATAAAATTTACTACTTGTGGTAGGCCCCTGCATGTAATCTTATTTCCTCACGGTCAACAACATTCTTTTGTTTTTGCTTGTCCTTTTTTATAGGAGAAAAGAAAGTAAAAAATAATCTGAGACTGGGCAGACTCAGATTGGCCACTTGTTACCCAAGTAACTTTCCTTTCATACGTTTTCCATGTAGCACATAGCCGAGGATCTTAAGTACCCAAGGGAAAAGCAGGGGATGGACAAGATACTAAGGTGTGACTGGCTACTGCCTTTACCTGTGTGTGATCTGAGTTGCTGCAGCCTGGCCTCCTTTTCCTGGTGAGGTCAGATCAGCACACACCACGCCCAGTCTGTCTGCCGGCATTCAGTTCACTCTGCACGTAACTCTGTGCTCAGAACTGAACCAAAGATGCCTGAGAATACAGAAGTATAAAGCGTCATTCTTACTCTCAGGAAGCCAGCAGTCTAGTTGGAAGTAATAAGAGCGATAAATGAAATAATAGCAAAATTATAATAATTAGTTCTTGGGCTCTGTGGTCCAGACCATTAGTTGTAGAGTTGTGAGGAAAGGGAGATGTGTGAGAACCAGAATGATTGGAAATGGGAAATGTCTCCAGGAAGGAAAGATGGGCTTTGGCCTGAGTCTTGGAAGGTAGGTAGGTGTGATAAGGTGAAGAGACTGGAGAGTCAGGACGACGGGTCACTGGGTGAGTGCATTCTTCTACATGTGGATGTGTGCATCCTGGTGGCGTCTTTATGAGATGATGACATCCACTTGAGGTGCAACCTCTACTAGAGGGGGAGTGATGGGAAAGAGAGAGGAAGGAGAGAAGGATGATGTCAGATGAGTGAGAGCATGAGCTTGGTGTTGGTACAACAGATAATAGAAACCCATTTTTATGTGTGTGTGCGTGTGTGTGCACGCACACACGTGCACGCGTGCATGCGCACATGTGCATAGTGAACCCTTGAACAAAGCAGGGGGTTTAGGGGCACTAACCCCATGTCGTTGAAAATCTTCCTATACATGTGACTCCTCCAAAACTTTTAATAGCCTACTGTTGTCTTATCAATAACATAAACTGTCAATTAACACATATTTTGCATTTTATATATGTTACATTACTGTAGTCTTAAGCTAGGGAAAAGAAAATGTTTTTAAGAAAAGGAAGAGAAAGGCCGGGCGCGGTGGCTCACGCCTGTAATCCCAGCACTTTGGGAGGCCAAGGCGGGTGGATCATGAGGTCAAGAGATCGAGACCATCCTGGTCAACATGGTGAAACCCCATCTCTACTAAAAATACAGAAAATTAGCTGGGCATGGTGGCGCGTGCCTGTAATCCCAGCTACTCAGGCTGAGGCAGGAGAATTGCCTGAACCCAGGAGGCGGAGGTTGCAGTGAGCCGAGATCGCCCCATTGCACTCCAGCCTGGGTAACAAGGGCAAAACTCCGTCTCAAAAAAAAAAAAAAGAAAAGGAAGAGAAAATACATTTAACTGATTCATTAAGTAGAAGTGGATCATCGAAAATGTCTTCATCCTTGTCTTAACATTGAGTAAGCTGAGGAGGGAGGGGCTGGTCTTGCCATCTTGGGGTAGCAGAAGTGGAAGAGGTAGAAGGGGAGGCAGAAGAGTCAGGCACACTTGGTGTAACTTTATGGAAATATCACAAGCAGTCTTGAATAATTGGAACCCTTGGAACAAATTCAGTTTGTTTTCTGGTACCACTTCTTCTACATCCTCTTCCTCATCATTTGTCATCTGTTTGGAGGCACCCATTTTCATCAAGTCATCTTCTGCTAATTTTTCTGATGTGGTGTCTGTTAGCTCTTGAATTTCTCCAAGATTCAATTCATGAAAACCTTCACCACTTTACCTTTTTGCCATATCTAAAACCTATTTCATAATTTCCTTCATTGGCTTTGTCATAAGTTCTGTGAAGCCACGTATAACATCTGGACATCGTTTTCTCCAGCAGGAATTTATTGTTTCAGGCTTGATGGCTTTCACAGCTTTTTCTGTAATAATGATGGCATCTTCAGTGGTGTAATACTCCCAGACTTTCATGATGTTCTCTCTGTTGGAGATTCTATTCCATAGCATTAACAAACCTTTCCATAGAGTTCTGCATGTAGTGAGCCTTACATGTCTTTATGACCCCTTGATCTAGAGGCCAAATTAGGGATGTTGTGTTTGGGGGCCAGTAGACCATGTCAGTGCCTTCAGTGTGCACTGAAGGAGCCAAAGCATCAGTGGAACCAATTCAGAAGAAAAGTTGTCATTGTCCAGGCCTTCTCTTTGTACAACCAAAAGACTGGCAGCTGGTATTTATATTTTCCCTTCAAGGCTCAAAGGTAGCAACTTTATGGATAAGGGCAGTCCTGATTATAAACCCAACTGCATTTGCACAGAACAGTATAGTTAGCCTGTCCCTTCCTGCCTTAAGTCCTGGTGCTCACCTCTCTTTCTCCTACTAGACTTTTGTGGCTTTTTTTTTTTTTTTTTTTTTTTTTTTTTTTCCAGAACAGCCCTTTCATCTGCCTTAAAAACCTGTTGAGGCAGATAAACTTTTTCCTCAATGATTTTTTTTAATGGCGTCTGGGAACTCATCTGCTGCCTCTTGGTTAGCAAAAGTTTTGCTTCTCCCAATTCCTTGGCCTTTTTAAAGCCAAACCTCTTTCTGAAATTATCAAACTGGAGCTCTGTGAACCTTTCCTGGTTCTGAGGGCTACCCAATTAAAAATTAATAAATAAATAGTCATGCCATCTTTTTCTGGCATTACATTCTCCAGCCTTAGATATTTCACCTTCCTTTGCCTTTAAATTGTCCTATGATGACTTCACTTTTTCTCAAATCATGTTAGTCTTTAGATATGCTTCTCTTATGGCAATCCTGCACTTATATAAAAGATGCATTTTTTATTTTTAGAGATGGGGTTTTGCCCTTTGCTCAGGCTGCTCTCAAAACTCCTGGGCACAAGCAGGTCCGCCCGCCTCGGCCTCCCAAAGTGCTGGGATTATAGGCATGAGCTGCTGCACCCAGCGAAAACTGCATTTTCAATGTGAGATGAAAAGATATTTCACAAAAAGTGCAAGGTCTTTGCACCTGCTGATGTAGCTTCAGGGATGGCTTCACAAATTTCCTTTTCTTTTTAGTCTTCCAGTGGTGGGCTGGCACAACTGTAGACTTCAGTCTACAATACATAGCAAGCAGTTAAGCCTTTTCTTGTAATGTCATGACTTTTCTCTGCTTCTTGGGAGTACATCCAGCATCACTAGTAGTACTTTTTTTTAGGTTTCATTATATTACTCACGGTTTATAGTATTGCACTAGACACTGAAAAATACATAAGAACTGTGAGAGATCACTTTTTACGATGATACCCAATTTATTAGAGATACCATGTGGAGATGATTAGTGTCGCAGGCATTTTAAGTGGGCACTCAGAATACTTGAGCTCATCGCCATAGGAATTAGAGATGGCTCTGAAATGATTACAGTAGCACAGTATGTACGGATATTTAACACTGCGCAAATGGTGCCATTACAGTCTGTGTTTGTTTTGATAATTGTAACTTTATGATAGATTTGTATATATTTTATGGTAGTAAATTATAAAATAAACATCTACATATATTTTATGCACTCATGACATACCATTTTCTTAATTTTTTCGATATTTCTAGGCTATGCCATTCAACTTTTTTCAAATTGTCCAAAAATCTCTAAAAAATTTTCCAGTATATTTATTGAAAAAAATCCATGTGTAAGTGTACTTGCACAGTGTAGGCCCATGTTGTTCAAGGGTCAGCTGTGTGTATGTGCGTGTGTGTGTTTGTATCTAGTATATTTTTGTAGATGTGTATATACCTCTATGTTAGATGTATGTCTACTTTTATAGTAGTGTACTTTATAGTGGATGTACATATACACATATCCATTTTATACTCTCTCTATATATGTTTTTTGCTTTATTTCAAATGTTCACTTTCCAAGAGCCTCTTTTATATTTTGATATAATTGGATAAAAGGAATAAACATTTGGGGTGTGTAAATTGGACTACACTCATTTTTTTTTCCCTTTTCCTCCTCTTTTCAATAAGTTACACCTTTTTACTTAACCTTCACCCTATCCTTCTGCACACAGCCACCACTTGGAAATTCCTCTAATTTGATGGCTGTGTTCCCTGTTTTCATTTTGAGCCAACCTTAAGGGTTGCCAGCAGATGGCAAACCTAGTTTTACATTTCAAGTAAACAGAAAATCCTCACAGGTGTTTGTCATGCAGCTGCAAAGAATTGTATGGATGGTAGCAGTAGCACTGAAATTCTCCGTGAGAACTGGATTCTCTCTTCCCTGAACTTCCCTAAACAAATGTTCATGTGTAAACTGTAGCTCCACAATTAATCTCTAAAGAGGAATCAGTTACCATCCCCTTAAGTAAACTTCTCTTCTGTGGCTGTCAGGTAAATACCATCCTTGGACTTAATGAATATACGTGTTTGTTAATGTTCTGGTCCATGCGGGAGAGTACTGTATGAAGGGCCACGTATGACTAGGCTGTAACTCGAGCCTCATCTCTATTCTGTTGGGTGATATGTCTCCGCCTCTGCTCTCCTGTTTGTAGCCTAAACCCACCAAGGGACGAATGCGCATCCACTGCCTAGAGAATGTGGACAAGGCCCTTCAGTTCCTGAAGGAGCAGAGAGTCCATCTCGAGAACATGGGGTCCCATGACATCGTGGATGGAAACCACCGGCTGACCCTTGGCCTCATCTGGACCATCATCCTGCGCTTCCAGGTAAGGACCTCTGCCCAGTGATGCTTAGAACTTAGGCCAACCTCTCAGGTATGAGCATCCTTGTAGAGCTGGCCTCCCCACCTCAGAGGGACAAGGAAGACCAGGTTGAAAGCATGTCTCAGAGATAGGTGTGTCATATCCATCCCTCAGAATTGAATGCTGCCTCATAGGCACGTGGAAGCTACTACATCCGCCTGCCATTTTACTAGCCCCTGATGGTCTCAGTGGCCCAGGGACTTCTAGGCCGCATCACAGCCCACCATTTTGCTGACACTGCTTTAAATGTCTGATCTCTGCTGCTTGGCTTTTAGGAGCAAAGGTATAAGGATGTGGCCGATGCTAGGTTATTAGCACTAGACTGCCTCAGCTTCACTCACCTGTGACATGTGTTACAGAGTATTTTTAGGAGAAGCCGTTGAGGGTTATGGCCTGTGTGTGGGCTCCATTTTCACCTTCTCATTCTCTTTGGATGTGAGGAAGAGGTTTGCAGGAGGAAAATACAAAACTCTTAAGTTTCTTTGAATTGATGACGATTTTATGAGTTTTGTTATACTTGAGGGGGAAGGCTATAAGTATAGAAGTATTTTAAGCCAGAAGGTACTTTGAAGGTCATTTTGTTCACTTCTCTTACTTTATGAAGAAATCAGGGACCCAGAGAATTTGAAACCTTGCCGCTGATGACACAGCCAGCCAGGGCTACAGTGGATGCCTCTGACCCCTTAAGAGAGAGCACTGAGCCTTTTGGGACTTTGCAGCACCACTGGCCTGATTACTGGTTCTTTCTCCAGGCACGTGCTTCGTGCTCATGCATTCCAATTTAAACTGGAAAGGCAGGAACAACTTGGTACTATAGTGTCAGGTTTCTCTGCAAACAAATATTCTAACAGTCCTGTCTCCTCAGTGACTGTGTTCTTTTGCCATTCCTTCCTGTTCTGCCCTTTAATAAAGATCTGCTTGATTTTTGGGGGTAAACAAAAAACTCACACAAAAAGGAAAAATGGAAAATCAAATTATAGCTGGCTTTGTTTTCTTATTGAAACTCGGAAATCAGCCTGTGACCAATTCCTCTTCCTTCTCACTTGCGCTAGGATTGGGCTTCAGGTAGTGTTTTGAATATATATGTGGGAGAAAGGGCTAAAGGACTAGAATGAGTTACAGGAAGAAACAGCTTCCTAACTGGCTAGTTCCCAAGCTGGCTGATCATCTGATGCTACTGGGAAGGGCTCTTAATAATTCAGGTTCCCAGGGCCCAGCCCCAGTAATTCTAATTAAGTAGGTCTGAGGAGAGAACCACTCTTGAGGATGGTACAACCTCATTAAAGGAGTTAATTACAGCAATCAAGTACATTTTTTTCCCCAAACAGATCTCTTATATTTCTGTCATTTAGTTCCTGAATGATTTGAAAATGGAGTAGCCATTGAATCCATTAATTACTTCTCTTGTGTGTTATGCCAGCAGAGGTGAAATTATTAGCAGGACACTCCTCAAGCTTCACCCCGGTTTTATGGAGTAAAATGTACTTCTGTTACCTTTGGCCTACAATAATCAGAATGTGGAAGGGCATCCTGAGGGCTGTCTTGACAGTGGGTGAGCGCCCAGGTCAGGGAGCTGGCACACATAGCCCTTTTCAGGATTCTCAGTGTGAATTGCATTGAGTCATTGACTAATTCACTTCCTGCCAGCTTGCCTGTTCATATACTTCAACTTATAAATGCTGATGTGTATTTTCTCCCTTTCTGGTTGAGGTGAGAGGAATAGGCTGCTAATGTTACTGCATGGCCTGCAGTGTTGGTGTCTGGCATGACTCAGCTTTCTCCAGCAGCTTTATTAAATCATTACCTATTCTATGAAAATAATATGATTATGAATCAGCCAAGGCCCAGCTCCTTGGTGAAGCTTTCCTGTGTATCTACAAGGATCTCTCCTTTCCCCTAGCTCCTAAATACAGTATATGGTTTTACAAGTTCCGTGTGTGTGTGTGTGTGTGTGCGCTCTCACTGCTGACAGGATATGGCCTGCCCTATATGTGCATAGAGGTGTCCATTAAATACTGATGATGACACAGATCTTATGATGCTACCCCTTTAAAAGAAAGTAAAAAGGCTGGGTGTGGTGGCTCATGCCTGTAATCCTAGCACTTTGGGAGGCCAAGGCAGGTGAATCACTTCAAGTAAGGAGTTCAAAACCAACCTGGCCAACATGACAAAACCCTGTCTCTACCGAAAACACAAAAATTAGCCAGCCGTGGTGGCGTGTACCTGTAATCCCAGTTACCCAGGAAGCTGAGGCAGGAGAATTGCTTGAACTTGGGAGGCAGAAGTTGCAGTGAGCTGAGATTGCACCACTGCGATTCTGTCTCAAATTAAAAAAAAAAAATTAAGATGATAAGAAACTGGAGTGGAAGTCTCTAAGTTTACCTAGTTTAAATAGGGAGCTGTCTTCATTTCAGAAGGGTAGGCTTTGTTTCTATGTGGGCAAATCTGGAAACAGATAGCCTTCTTCACCCAGAAGCATAAGAAAGCCAATGGTTTACTTTGTAAAGTTGCAGCCTGACTTTCCTGGTGATCCTGTCTCTCGTCCCTTGAGTGAGGGTTGTTCTTCCACATTCCCTTTCTGCACTTGAGCAAATGATCCTAATACTAGAGACTGGGGTTTATGTAAATGCAGGCGTCACATTCTTACCACAATTAAAATTAGATAAATTTTTTTTTTTTAATGTAGTTGTCTCAATTCACAGGTGCTTTTCGTAGTTGAAAGTTTCTGACTTTTTAATCTTGTATTTATATATTTTGTCTTCATTCTCTCTTTCAAAAAAATTCTGGGATGTGTTTGTAGATTGAATGAAGTGAAGGGTTGTGGGGAGTGTGGCAGAGCAGAGAAGCTTAAAATGGCTACGGCTGGAGGTGATGGATGGGCTCCTGGCCAGCACTTCCACTCCTGATTCCATTCCACATTTTATATACAAGAGGACACTTTCATATAATAGACAAAAGTATATTTGGAGCATTTGTCTAAAATCACATAGTTGGCAGTTAGCACCTAAAAGAACTAACATTCACGGACCCTTATGATGAGCTCAGTACTTCATTATATCATTTAAGTGCATCACAGTGCTGTGAGATTAGCCACTTTCATTATTTCCCTTCCTCAGATGGGGAAGCTGGTGAACTTGCCCAAGGGCACATGGTAGGTGATAAAGCCTGGGTTCACATCCAGGCAGTCTGACTTTGGTGCCAGCTGACCAGGTTTTGTGTGTAATGTTGCATATACGCTGCCTCTGAGCGGCTTGTGAATGCACATCATGGAAGCACAGTGTTTAAGCATACACTTGCTCTGATAGTTTGGAAATGGTGCACACAGTGCCCTCATCAATGAAAGTTGCAACTCATATGAAAAATGTTTACTTATGAAAAACCAAACTCAGCTTTTTTTGAGGGTCTGATGAGATTCCATATGCACTGTTGAACCGCTGTGCTTTGAACTGGAAAGATGGACTGTCTCAGGGGTAGAAATGACTTCTGATAGGTGCTGGGAAATCCCTTCAGCCTTCTGTCTGTGTGAAGCAGAAAACCTAGTTCTGGCTATGTTTCTGAAGTGAGCCCTGGACTTCATGAAGCAGTTTTCATTGATAGAATTAGATTGTCTGCAGGGCAAGGCTTTGAGCTACGGTTTATTCTTTATGTGTATGCGGACCTGCTCTTCAGTGGTTCTGTGAGGCAGCTGACCCATCTATTTGTCTAATATTTCTTTGTAAATCTTAGATCCAGGATATCAGTGTGGAAACTGAAGACAACAAAGAGAAGAAATCTGCCAAGGATGCATTGCTGTTGTGGTGCCAGATGAAGACAGCTGGGTGAGTGTGAATGCAGAGGGTATTGAGGCTACTTCTTCCAGGACTGAGTTCCACTGCCAGTCATCACTTAGAAGGTGTTGACAGGTATCTTTTCCACTGCTTCCATTGAGAAGTCTTGTTAACTTGTAAGCACTTGATATGATGACTTTTCAATTAGCTCTCAGAGTGGAAGGAGTTCTGATTTATATTTTAGACCTGTCATGTCTTCATAATCAGTTTCCTTCTCTTTATTAAGGAATCTCCAGAGAACATTATATTTTGAATTTTAAAACCCTGGAAGCATGTTTAGGATTCATACCCATGACATTTTAAGAACACAGTCATCGGTTTTCTTCACCCTTTAATTTCTGTTTTGGGGAGCGTTCTTTGCACAGTAAACATTAGCATAATCTTTTAATATTATCTGTCAGCTTTCCTTTCTTTTATTTTTTTCATTGAAATTTCAGTGAAGTTGTTTTTAGAGAGCTGCATCTCTTTTCTTGCTTACTAATGTTTGGACTCAACTGATACTAAGCCTTCAAGTTCTTAGCAAATTGGTTTAAGGTAATAGGTGCTTACTGAGACCCAATTTTAGATTAATTAGATTTACTGTTAGAACTACTTGAGGTATAGATGTAATTCTAATGAACATGAATTCAGAACATGAAAATCAGAACTCCATCCATTCTGAGAGCTACCTGAAAGTCATCATGTCTGTAAAGAGCTTATAGCCTAATAAAAGGGTCAAGTCAGGTATGAACCTTTAATCAGCCACTAACATAAAGTTATTAATAGCCAGTATGGCATAGAATAGCTGATTCATTATGGGTAAGTTTCAAACATAAATTTTTCATGGAGGTACTACTTTTTACAAACTTCATCCAATTAAGTGGCATATGGAAGAAAGAAAGCTGATTGTCACATGAACAGATAGTCCCACCACTTCTTTTTTTTTTTTTTTTGAGATGGAGTTTCACTCTTGTTACCCAGGCTGGAGTGCAATGGCGCGATCTCGGCTCACCGCAACCTCCGCCTCCTGGGTTCAGGCAATTCTCCTGCCTCAGTCTCCCGATTAGCTGGGATTACAGGCACCCGCCACCATGCCCAGCTAATTTTTTGTATTTTTAGTAGAGACGGGGTTTCACCATGTTGACCAGCATGGTCTCGATCTCTTGACCTCGTGATCCACCCGCCTCGACCTCCCAAAGTGCTGGGATTACAGGCTTGAGCCACCGTGCCCGGCCAGCAGTCCCACCACTTCTTATCCCAAAGTAACATGTGACAAGAGACTGCAAGTCCTGGTGTCTTTGTAGGTGGAGTATAAAATCAGTAGAAGTAGAGTCCTCAGAGGTGTCTAGGTTGTGGTCACTTTTTCCTAAGAGTAGTATTTTAAATCTGGGACACAGTTCACATCTTTTGTGAGACTGAATTTCCAAGCAAGAAAAGCCACACGGATGCATGTTTTATTTTTATTTTATAGCAAGCTAGAGTTGGTGGGATATTTGTTCTGACTTGATTGTTCTTATTGATATTCACTGCTTTAGGTTTTGCAATGCTTACAGACTTTTTATTAACGTAGCGTTTGGCAGAAGTATAAACCTTCATGTGGTAATTGTGTTGCTTTTCCCTTGTGCTTTGTCCTTGGCAGGTACCCCAACGTCAACATTCACAATTTCACCACTAGCTGGAGGGACGGCATGGCCTTCAATGCACTGATACACAAACACCGGTAAGTCGTTACAAATCATGCTAGCAATTGTGGGGTAAAATGTTGCTGTCCTTCCATAGCAGGTTTGGGTGACTTTGAATTCCCATCCATTGCCTTAGCTGTTGCACCGTGATGGAAATTCCTACATTCCATGTGAAGAAAATGTGGGAACCTATGTAAATTCTTCCAAACAAAAGAAACAAAACAGGTTCACCCTAATCTTTTTTTCCTCTTAATAAAGTGTTTTTTCAAAAACAGGTTTCATTGTTCGATGATTCCGTAGTAGTGTATTTTTAAAGTTTTACTCCACTAAGTGGTGATTTTAACCTTTTTGGACTAACAATTATGTTTCAATGGTCATATTTTTTTTCAAGCCATGATTTTTGTTGTGTTCCACTGTTGTTCTGCACAGGCCTGACCTGATAGATTTTGACAAACTAAAGAAATCCAACGCACACTACAACCTGCAGAATGCATTTAATCTGGCAGAGCAGCACCTTGGCCTCACTAAACTGTTGGATCCCGAAGGTAGGGACTCAGGGGATAACAGGTGGGATTGTTAGCATCTGTAGCATCCAGGTGTTAATGTAAAATCTGTTTTGTCTCAGTATGTTTCATTTGTACAACATGTTTTGGGAATTATCAGAGGAAGAGCTTAATTTTGGTTACGGGAGTTTTTTGAGGATTTGTGGAAAGGATGACACTCAAAAAGGCCTTGAAACAGAGTCTGAAGGGACCACGTGTGGGCAGAGGAACTAGCGTGAGCAAAGGTGTGGAACCAGGAAAGAGGAAGGTGTGCTTGAAGGACTAATGATTTGATGGGAATGGTGTTTAGGATAATAGCAGGGAATAGCACTATTCCCTGCTATTAGTGGATGAGCAACAGGCAATGGGGAGTCATTGAAGGTTCTTAGCAGCTGTGCTCAAAGTAGAAAAGTAGAAAACCTGGCATAGACTCTCAGTAAATGCTTGTTGGCTGACATTTATCTGAAGGTGGCAAGCAGATTGGATGGGGTTGGGTGAAGACTGGAGGCAGGGGGCCTTATTACTAGGCTGTAAGGCTGTGCTTTGCTTATGAGCAAGTAAGAGTTTAAACAAGGAAGGTACATTTGGGAAAGGGGAGTGTCAGGGTAGAAGGAGCAGCAGTCATAGTCCTTTCTTACAGCTGACTGCTTGGAGGCTGACCACATCCCATGTTCTGCATGGAACTAATCCTTCTTTACTCTGTGAGTCCCTGTGTAGCTTGGAGCTGACTTGTGTGGAGCAGTCCCCCAGGTTGTAGCTCCCTTGCTTAACAAAATTATAATTCTGGGTTCATTTCATTGTAAGCTCTCATAGGAACTTTTTCTAATTTTGAGAAGCATTTAAAATATCAGGATTTGTTTGTAGTGCTGGAGATTTATAGATCCTCTCAGCTGCGAACAGATATTAGAGAGGAAAAAATTGTATGTATGTGAGTGAAAGTTTAAAGTTCTTATAAATATAGAACAGGAAGTTTACCTCCCCAAGGGTAGATCAAGGTCATGAGGCTGCCATGCAGGCTTCTTGCTTTTTTCCAATGCATCAGATTCACTGATATGTTGGCTACAGGAAGCTGAGAGAAAATTATCTTTGTGCTAACCCATTAAATGATTTCTCAATATAAACAGAAAACTAAAATTCCTTGGGTTTTGATAAATCTTTGTGCTTATTCCATACCTGACTATGGGAAGGAATTTTTCCTTAGCCGTACTTCTTTGTGCTTTAATAAAGAACCTTTTTTTCCTATCACAGTGACAACATTTTTTAATAACTTGCTCATTAGTTAATCTTTCTAATCACTGCCCAGTCTGAAAAGGGGGATTGATGTTTCCCAGATCACAAGACAAGGAACTAAAAAAGGCAGCTGATGTCACTTTTGTCCTGTGAGTTTGATCTTGATTATTAGTTATCAAGTGCCCCAAAGAGCATCAGGTAAAATATACTTGTAGACAACTTAAATAAAAAGTTTTGCTTGCTCACTTCTTTGAGTTACGTTGACATTTTGTGCTGATTAAATTGGATGCCTACACTGGCATTTTTTTCTAGCTGCCCTCCAATTCACTCTCCTTTGTGCACACTTTGACAGGTTGAACAGACGCAGGAGCCCTGGGGTAGGGAACAGTAGCTATGATTCTGGCCCTTAACACCACTGGCTGCCTTAGCGACCCTGGGCAGGGAGTGTGCCAGCCTTGTGTCCTAATGTTCTGTTTAAGAGAAACAGTCTTGCACCATACAAGGCTGTCAGGGGTGGCAATAGGAATGGAGGTGTGTTTATGAATGTATTGACAAAGAGCCTGATAATATTTGTTAAGAGCTGTCCTGTGTGTTGTCTTCGCAACCTAGCCCAAGTTGAGTGCTTTTCTCAATATTGCCAAACTTCAAAGACTTGCCATTTTAAGTTGTCTGTTCCTTCTCTCAATACCTATTTATTGACCACCTACTTTGTGCAGGACAACACAGTAGAAAGGTGGGAGGTAGAGTGGCATAGGGGCCTCCCAGGACAGGCTTCTACCCTTGGGGACTGAGTTTTGTAAGGCAAACAAAACATGCGTAAAAAATTATAACCTGCCAAAAAGTGGACTGTGTGTCCATACAAAGCCCTAAGGGAATAGAGGAGGGAGACCATAATTTCAGCTGTAGGGATCATAAATGGTTGTGTTGGGTGGTAATTTTTGAAATGGACCTTGAAGGATAGCAAGAAAGTTGTGGGGTCATGAAAGTTATTTCAGGCAAAGCAAAGTCATCAATAAAGGAAGGCTTATTGAAATCTATGCAGTGTGTATAGGGAATAGTGAATTGTCAAGTTTGATTCAGAGATACAGTGCTAGATGCAGTGGCTTGCACCTGTGATTTCAGCTACTTAGGAGGCTGAGGTGGGAGAGTTGCTTGAGCCCTAGAGTTTGAGGCTACATTGAGCTATAATCATGTCACTGTATTCTGGCCTGGGTGACAGCGAGACCCTGTTTCAAAAAATTTTTTTAAATAAGGGATACAGTGCCTGAGAGGTAATAGGCTATAGAATTTAGAAGTGTTTCAAATGATGCTTGACGTTTGAAAGAAGCCTGGTGAATATTTGAGAAGTTGATGGAAAAAAGGGAAGGAAGGTTATAGCCAGATTCTAGGAGACTGAAACACCTATATTTTATTCTTCAGACTGAGTAATTTTGAGCTAGGAGCAACTGTATTCACAGCTGTGCTTCTGGAAGATCAATCTGGGTGCACTATGTGAAGGAAATGGAGTACAAGGGAAAGCTGGTAGAGGGAGCCATTATTTCAGGTCTGGTTATGTGACAGGATATGGGTCTCTGAACCATGAATGACAATAAGGATTCCATAAATAAGGGTCATCCCAACTCAGACTCAGTGTCTAGCTGCTGAATACTGGTAACAAGGAGATAAAGATATCCAAAGACTGAGTGACGGGGATGTAGGTAGAAATGAGGACTCAAGAAGAGCAAACCCAATGTGGTGGTGAGGCAAGAAGGGGAATATGTATGTCTGTAGAAGGCATTTCATGAATATTCACATAATAAAGGAATCAGTGAGATGGTTTCACCTTGTTATTTACAAGGTTATTATCCTTGTAAATAATGCACTGACGGCAGAACGCTTAAGTACAAACATAAAGACACTGCACTGTTCCGTGTTGACCAGCAGTTTGTTCCTGCTGCCTGGGCGGGGCACAGTAGCATGCAGCACACTGAACAGAGTCTTCTCTGGGTTGCAGACATCAGCGTGGACCACCCTGATGAGAAGTCCATAATCACTTACGTGGTGACTTATTACCATTACTTCTCTAAGATGAAGGCTTTGGCTGTTGAAGGAAAACGAATTGGAAAGGTGAGCTCATGCTATTTTTGTGAGTTGTGAGACATAATTAGGATTTATTGAGCCCTCATTCTCCCCACTCATAAAGTTTGCCAATAGCAATTTGTAGTGGACTCTCCAGATGGTAGGGAAGTTGGCAGAAGCCTCTTCATCCTGAAGGGTAGATAACAAGGTGGGAGAGATGACCACCGTATTTAGGAAAGGATCTGAGGTCTATCTCAAACTCAGAAACGTTCTTCTCCTCAACCTCTCCAGGAAATTGGGTATGGAAATCTGACTGAGTTGGCTGATGTCATGGGTGTGACATCCTACTTACCACAGTTGAAAAGGCCCCAGTATCATGCTTTCTGCTTTTCGTTTGGCTGACGTTCACCTACCATATTTTCAAAACACCTCAGACCAGATGACTTTGTCGTCTCAATGCAGTGGAGCCAATAATGGGCATTTATGGGACAGGATCAAGCTAAATAGAGCCCTTTTTGTTTTTCTAGGGATTTCAGATGTTGGGCTACAGAAATCATTCGGAATCTCATTGCTTGGGGGTTGGGAAGTTGCAGAACCAATTACAGTTAAGCTGTCATTGCTCACAAATAATAGTCTGTGTGCCTCTTAGCAAATGGTTCCTTGAGTTAAAATGCTTGTGCCCAAGTACAGCCGAACTGTCTGAGAGCTGGCAGAACTGTTTTGGAGCCGGCAGATCTCTTTCAAAGCCAGTTGTTTTGTGTCCTTGGGCTCGTGGAGGATTGCAATTGTATTTAACTTATGGGGTGACATGATCTTTTCAATTTCTCTATCCCTTGTTTACAGGTCCTTGACAATGCTATTGAAACAGAAAAAATGATTGAAAAGTATGAATCACTTGCCTCTGACCTTCTGGAATGGATTGAACAAACCATCATCATTCTGAACAATCGCAAATTTGCCAATTCACTGGTTGGGGTTCAACAGCAACTTCAGGCTTTCAACACTTACCGCACTGTGGAGAAACCACCCAAGTAAGATGCAAATTGTAGTGTGTGACCATTAATATGGAAAGACACATCACTATAGCCAACAGACCCCTATGTTCTGACTTCTGTAATCTCATCTCCTAACTGAATACCTCTCACCAGTAGCATGTCCTATTCCTTCTCATCTGATTCTGTGTTGCTGAGATTTATGACAGATCATACTCTCTCTGAGCCCTTCCCAGTAGAAATGTGCCACTGATGTACAGGATATATGAGAATTCTAAGAAATGGTACAAGTCGCCAACCCCATATCCAAAACCATTGTGCCTAGTATGTTTCAGGATTCATAACTTTTGGATTTTAGAAAAACAGCACAGCTCATATGTTGTATAATACAAGACCCCAGATGGGACTCAGGTAGTAATCCATAAGCCCAATAATTATCTATAGCAGGATGTGTAAATATTCACATTGTATTAGATAAAGAAAGACAATAAATAATTTTGTAACAATTCAGATCAAGTTTTGCAAACCCCTAAAAAAGTTTGATCTTTCGTTTTTTTTTTTTTTTAGGTTCATAATTGTTAAATAAGGATTGTAGACCTTATCTATTGCTTACCATAGTTGCAAAGTCATTTTTTCTTTTCTGAAAACTCAGTGGCATATACCTTGGTAAGGTCTCTAAAACCCACTGAAAATTACATTAGGTAGACATTTGAAATAATCTGTGTTGAGTGCATTCAACTGCACTGAATAAATGAATGAATGAAATTCGTTGTCCAGGATTTAGGGTTTAAACCTTGATTGAAGTGAATACAAAAGAGTATTGCATGCTCTTGACACCGTCAAATATAAATCTAGCAACAACAAATAACCACAAAAAATTCCACAGTTTGGTAAGTTTCAAGGTTTGTAATAGCCAATAAGTGCCCTACTCCTGTCTCTTTGACATGTATTTCACATAAGTCAGACCACAGTTAAATGGTTTTTAAAATGCATGACTGTGTGAATCTTTTTTTTCCTCCAGTAACAAATGAATGTTTTCCCTTGTGTTTAGATTTACTGAGAAGGGGAACTTGGAAGTGCTGCTCTTCACCATTCAGAGTAAGATGAGGGCCAACAACCAGAAGGTCTACATGCCCCGGGAGGGGAAGCTCATCTCTGACATCAACAAGGTAAAGTGGATCCGGACTTAACATGGGCCCTGACCTCCTGAAGGCTTCAGGTCCTATCACTAGGTCTCAACTGCTAAGAGGACAAGAGAATGGAAAGGGCTGTCTCCACCTACTGAATTAACAGTTGGCAGCTGGTGCTTAGGTGTGACAAAGGATCAGGCAAGCAGTGGTGCTGGGGTAGGCTGCTGGAGGCTTCCGGTGGGCAATGTTAGATTTTATCAAACCAGCTTTGGTGTGGGCCAGTCACCGTGTTACTCAGATACATATTACTTTTACCCCTCATCTGAGGCAGTCGTTTCAAACATCTTTAAATTACAGAAAGGAGAAATTGAAACCTTATTTCATGTGTTTGGAATCTGAGAGGTTGTGGGGCTTAGGATATTGGCTTCTTCCATTAGAGAAGCTGTCAAACAGTTTTCAGTATCGTGCCTATTATGCCTTTGGTTATAGAAATTCGCAGCAGGCATTATTTCCAACTAGAAAGAAATTTGAGAAATCTAGAACTCTGGTCACTTGTACATACCGGCATTCCTTTTTTCTGCTCATTAAAAATAATTTTTTTTTTTTAAATGGAGACAAGGTCTCACTATATGGCCCAGGCTAGTCTTGAACTGCTGGCTTCAAACAGTCCTCCCACCTCGCTTTCAAAGTGCTGGAATTACAGGCGTGAGCCTCTGCACCTGGCCCCACTTAGATTCCTTTGAGTGGAATATTTGGATCTTTCTTTTTTTTTTATGTGAAGAAAGATTTCATAGGAATGAATTTAATGTGGACAATAGGTCAGGATTTTGAAAGAAATACTCAGATGTGTAAATTTTTTACATGTGGCTCAGGGTGGAATGAATGAAATTCGTATGATTTCTTAGAAAAGTCATTTATCTTTTTCATATGATCAGAGTTGTTTAAGATAATTTATTTCCTCTTAAAGTAAAAGATTTATAATTTACTTATATTGCTTTATATCTATAGTTTTGTTTTCCAAATACAACACAGAATTTTTAGATTTAGATGACAGAAGAGTGTTTCCTTGAGGATACAGTGAGAGAAAAATCCCTTCTTTTTCCTCAGAGCTTGAAAGCCATTGAAGATGGGAATGGGATTTCCCATTCAAGTTCTCAGGTCTTCTTGAGAAATACTAGCTGTTGGCTATAGCCACGGAAGTTTCCTTGAACACTGCAGGAAACTGTTTGTGTTTATGTGTGTCTATTTTCATTTTTGTAGGCCTGGGAAAGACTGGAAAAAGCGGAACATGAAAGAGAACTGGCTTTGCGGAATGAGCTCATAAGACAGGAGAAACTGGAACAGCTCGCCCGCAGATTCGATCGCAAGGCAGCTATGAGGGAGACTTGGCTGAGCGAAAACCAGCGTCTGGTGTCTCAGGTTCTGCTCTAGACATTGTTAAAAAGATGGTTCCTGGGGTAATCTAGAAACACAGACCATCCCCAGAGGCATAGGGCCAGAAGACAGCTGCTTGTCGACATCCAGTATTCTGGAGGAACTGTCAGGTCACCTTGGCCACTTCCCATGAGGAGGATGTTTATAATTTCTGATGCACATTTCTATTTATGTAACTTTTCATAGATTTGGAAACAGCTCAAGCAGAGTTTGTTTAGAGCCATTGAGTGTATGTGAACTATTCACATTTATAGTAAGTTTTAACAGTTCTCTCTTTTCTTTAATCTTTGACCTTCGAGGCATTTAGACTGGTTGTGAAATAAACAAAAGTGGCTTGCTTTTCCACTTGGCTTGACGTAAGCTATCACCTGTTCTAGCTTTTCAGTAAGGTACTAGATAAAGAGGTGGGCTCCTTTGCAAAATGAGCAGTTACTAGTTTGCTTTGAGGAGGGCATCTAAGCTCAAGGCAGAGACCAGTGAGGTCGGGGAACTCAGGAGTCTGAGTTGGCTTTAAGACCACCAGGGATTAATGTGTGCTCAGGATTTTACGTCTGTTCTGTTTTTTTTCTTTTTGAGGAGGGAGTGGGGAGTAGTGGGGGTGTGAGACAGAATTATTATTATTATTATTATTTGTGACGGAGTTTTACGCTTGTTGCCCAGGCTGGAGTGAAATGGTGTGATACTGGCTCACTGCAACTTCTACTTCCCAGGTTCAAGTGATTCTCCTGCCTCATCCTACCAACAAGCTGGGATTACAGGCATGTGCCACCATGCCTGGCCAATTTTTGTATTTTTAGTAGAGACAGAGTTTCGCCATGTTGGCCAGGCTTGTCTCAAACTCCTGACCTCAGGTGATCACCTGCCTCGGCCTCCCAAAGCGCTGGGATTATAGGTGTGAGCCAGTGGACCTGGCAGGATTTTTTATTTTCCTTGTTTTTATTCCATTTCTCTGTAGGACAACTTTGGATTTGACCTTCCCGCAGTTGAGGCCGCCACCAAAAAGCACGAGGCCATTGAGACAGACATTGCCGCATACGAGGAGCGTGTGCAGGCTGTGGTAGCTGTGGCCAGGGAGCTTGAGGCTGAGAATTACCACGACATCAAGCGCATCACAGCGAGGAAGGACAATGTCATCCGGCTCTGGGAATATCTACTGGAACTGCTCAGGGCCCGGAGACAGCGGCTCGAGATGAACCTGGGGCTGCAGAAGATATTCCAGGAAATGCTCTACATTATGGACTGGATGGATGAAATGAAGGTAAAACCTGACCAAAAGGAAGGAGGCCAGAGCTGATCCAACTAGGGTTCTGTTTTCTAGGACTTACTCACTAAACCCCTACATACAGCTGCATGCCTTGTCTAACTGCCCACCTGTACAGCTAGAGAATAGCCACATCACCCATGGGAAAATTGCTAGCTCAGTAGTTAAATGAGATGTGAAGGGTGAAAAAGTTGTAAAGACCAGTTAGGTAGCTAGAGCTCTGTTTCTATGAGTAAGATCTATCTATCTTAGATATATTCCAATGTAGGGAATCAATCACTTTGTGGTTTTCTTTATTTTTAATTCTTCAGGGTTAAACTAACTTACCATTTCATCAATCTGTGAGGGAGTGATACTACTTTGGGGAAGGGGTCCCGGAGAGGTGGTGTTGGGAGGAGGGAGAGTAGTAGGTGCTGTGGACAGAGGATAGGCCAGGAACCAGGCAGCTGGAGTTCTGATTATGAGTGTCTGAGTTACCTAATCTCTTTGAGCCCTTTTTCTTGGTCTTTAAATGGAGATTGTACTTCCTATCTACCTTAACCAGTTATTGCCAGGATGGAATGCAGTAATATGTACACGATCATAGGATGGGCTGGTTGGCAGCGGCTGCTCATGCCATTTATTGACCTCTCTCAGCATAGAGTTCCAACTGTTCCCCCTTCCCAGGAACAGATCTGCTGTTGTGCCATGGCCCTGTACCTGTTCATGTCCTCCGATGCAGGCCGTGGATTGCTCAGCCATGTCAAGCAGTTCTCCAGCTGGTAGCCTTGTAGATAGAAGAAAATAGATGAGTTTTCAGACAGTCCCATGAAGGTTCCTTTGTCTCAGCATGCTGTGTTCCCAAGTTTGATCTTAGGCAAGAGATTTCCTTCCCAAGATACAAGCTGTCATCTGTTGCCTACCTCTTGGATTGTTTTGGCAGAGGGGCAAGGCCACCTGATATCATCAGTTTTCCCTCCTGTTGTTCCAGAGTTACAGTGTTCTTAGGTTTGGTCTCTCTTGACCTCTTGAAATGGAAATGTTGGTAAAATGTAGCAGAGAGGGACTTCTGTTTTATAAATCATGATGCATGTTGTAATTCAGGTTGGTCCAAAGACTTCCTCAGAAGTAAGAATGAAGCAGAAATTCCATCTGGTGAGGATGTAGAATGAGGCCCCCAACTTTGGCTGGTTAATGGAAGAAACCAGAAAGTATCAGTGGGTTCAAACTTCAACCCTAGACTTGCTTGGGATCTACTAAGCAAGACAGCCACCTGACCCTGCTTTCCTTATTAGGTTAAAAATACAGCTTATAAGCTTTTCAGGTAGATTCTTCTCCCATGGATTGTGTAAGTATAGTAGAGGCATACCAATAAGCTCTTAATGGAGGAAAAGCATTCACTTACAGGCTCAGCAACTTCTAAAAGATTTCTTTCAACTTTGAAGTGACCAGGTGTATCATCTTTATTTTATTTTATATTTTGAGTAGTTGTTACAGTGTTTTTTTTTCTTGAAGCTTCAGTTTATATTTTGAAATCTTGCATATAGCCCTCTCCTTCCCCCACCCCTGCCATATTTTTCTTCTGTTTTGCACTCTTTAGTGTAGATTTGGCTTGCTTTTTCTAAGGTTGGTGATCCTTAGTTTGTGATAGCTCTCCTGACACAGGCTTTCAGGTTTGATTTGTTTTATTTTTGTTTGTTGGCCCTCATCTTCCGCTGAAGGTGTGGGGTTCATGACAGGCTAGAGGAAAGGTGCAGCTTTGTTGCTGGCTCTCTGCTTGTCCAAAGATTATGTGATGCTGAAGTCAAGGCTATAGTTACAGATGTCCTTTTGGTTGCCTCTTCTGCACAGGTGCTAGTATTATCTCAAGACTATGGCAAACACTTACTTGGCGTGGAAGATCTATTACAGAAGCACACCCTGGTTGAAGCAGATATTGGCATCCAAGCAGAGCGGGTGAGAGGTGTCAATGCCTCCGCTCAGAAGTTCGCAACAGATGGGGAAGGTAAGGATGGCCCCTTCCAGGCATTACTTCCTGGTCACCAGAGATTCAAATTTATAGACGCACAATGGGCCTTTTAAAGTTACTGTGCCACTGTACATTCCTGGTGGGTTTGTCATGGGAGCATGAGATACAAGGGAGTGGCCTTCTGAATGCTAACTCTGTCTTGTTTTTCTGGAAATTGATATGTCCGTTCCTTAAATATGCAAATGTTGCTTGCCTTTGAGTGGCTTAGTGTTTAACAGTGAGACTTTGCCATATCGCATTATCTGGCATTACACCAACACTCTGGTGTGGCTGCTCCAGCAGCTCCTGACTTTGACAGCTGGTCAGAGATAGCTCAGTTTGGAAGACGTTTGGAATGATTTGGTTTGCTTCTTGTATTTCTTTTTCTTTTTTTTTTTTTTGTAAGAGATGGCGTCTCATTCTGTCTCAGGCTGGAGTGCAGTGGCGAGATCTCGGCTCTTTGCAACCTCCGCCTTCCTGGGTTCAAGTAATTCTCCTGCTTCAGCTTTCCAAGTAGCTGGGACTACAGGCGTGTACCACCACACCAGCTAATTTTTGTATTTTTTTGGTAGAGATGGGGTTTCTCTATATGTTGGCCAGGCTGGTCTCGAACTCTTGACCTCAAGTGATCCACCTGCCCTGGCCACCCAAAATGCTGGGTTTACAGGCATGAGCCACCGTACCCAGCCTTGCTTCTTATATTTCTAGAAACAAATGCAGCTACCTTTTTCATATAATTCAAGTGCTTTCTTGGTTCATAAGTGATCACTTTGCGGTTGGGCCAAAAAAAGTAATATTTATCATTGCCCTCACTTCTGTTTCAGTCAAGATATTAGAAGGTGCTTCATTGCCTTATCACACAGCCCTGCATTTAGATTTAGCAGTGAGCTGGTAATCATAAGAATGTAGCTCACTGCCTGCAGGTGAGCCTGCACCTACGCTGAGCACCGTCACACACCCACATTCCTTCCTTGATGTTAAACAGGTTACAAGCCCTGCGACCCCCAGGTAATCCGAGACCGCGTGGCCCACATGGAGTTCTGTTATCAAGAGCTTTGCCAGCTGGCGGCTGAGCGCAGGGCCCGTCTGGAAGAGTCCCGCCGCCTCTGGAAGTTCTTCTGGGAGATGGCAGAAGAGGAAGGCTGGATAAGGGAAAAGGAGAAGATCTTATCCTCTGATGATTACGGGAAAGACCTGACCAGCGTCATGCGCCTGCTCAGCAAGCACCGGGCATTTGAGGACGAGATGAGTGGCCGCAGTGGCCACTTTGAGCAGGCCATTAAGGAAGGCGAAGATATGATCGCAGAGGAACACTTTGGGTCAGAGAAGATCCGTGAGAGGATCATTTACATCCGGGAGCAGTGGGCCAACCTGGAGCGACTCTCAGCCATTCGGAAGAAGCGCCTGGAGGAGGCCTCCCTGCTGCACCAGTTCCAGGCGGATGCTGATGACATTGACGCCTGGATGCTGGATATCCTCAAGATTGTCTCCAGCAGCGACGTGGGCCACGACGAGTATTCCACACAGTCTCTGGTCAAGAAACACAAGGACGTGGCGGAAGAGATCGCCAATTACAGGCCCACCCTTGACACGCTGCACGAGCAAGCCAACGCCCTCCCCCAGGAGCATGCCGAGTCTCCAGACGTGAGGGGCAGGCTGTCAGGCATTGAGGAGCGGTATAAGGAGGTGGCAGAGCTGACGCGGCTGCGGAAGCAGGCACTCCAGGACACCCTGGCCCTGTACAAGATGTTCAGCGAGGGTGATGCCTGTGAGCTCTGGATTGACGAGAAGGAGCAGTGGCTCAACAACATGCAGATCCCAGAGAAGTTGGAGGACCTGGAGGTCATCCAGCACAGGTGAGCGGGGCACTGCTGGGCACTGTCCTGTTCTTGTGGCTACCAGTGGCCCAGGAAGTGACCGCCCTTTCAAATTGCTGTTTCAGATTTGAGAGCCTAGAACCAGAAATGAACAACCAGGCTTCTCGGGTTGCAGTGGTGAACCAGATTGCACGCCAGCTGATGCACAGCAGCCACCCAAGTGAGAAGAAAATCAAAGCCCAGCAGGACAAACTCAACACGAGGTGAGCACACGGCCAGCAGCGTTCCAGCCTTCCACATGTGGGGCTGGGGAGGGTGAGGTCACTCACTGAGCATTGCTGTTGGGAATTTCCCACGCAGGGTCATTGACATTGCTACACTGATGTCAAGGCATTGACACCTGCTTTTTGACTTGTCTTTGTTTTGCAAGAAGTATCTCTCAGGGCAAAATCTTTGGTTGTAAGAGGATGATTTGAGCCAGCCCAGCACCTGCCTGTCTCCATACCAAAGTTAGGGTCTTGGTGTGGAGATGACACCTGTGCTATCCCTTTTAAAATAACTTTAGGAACAAGACTTTAGCATGTTCTACACCTAATTTGCCAATGAAACTCCTGATTGTCAGGGCAGACCTTTGTCCTGGTCTTATCTTTGTGTTGAGTAAACATTTTTGAGTAGGTAGTGGCAGCTGGCCCCAGTTTTGAAGGTTACCATCAGTCTTAGATTTGGAAAACATTCATTAGGTGCAGTTCAGAGATGTGTAAAATATGTTGCTGACATGAATTAATTGACTCTGGGCATGGATGTGTTGTCATTGCTCACATTAGAGCTCTTTAACACATTCCTCTTCGTGGCAGGCTTTTTCCAGATTACATTGCGTCCCTGAGCCATCTCCATTATATTTGGTGTTCACAGTCTGAGTGAGGTGATTTTCCAAAAAGCATGTAGTCAAAGCAGAGATGGAGAAAACAGATAAGCTACATTAACCATCACTGTTCATTTTGCAGTTTAGCCATGGTTGGTCTTTCCTTTTTCACAGTTGTTCTCTGCTCCTGCACTCACAGGTGGAGCCAGTTCAGAGAACTGGTTGACAGGAAGAAGGATGCCCTCCTGTCTGCTCTGAGCATCCAGAACTACCATCTCGAGTGCAACGAAACCAAATCCTGGATTCGGGAAAAGACCAAGGTCATCGAGTCCACCCAGGACTTGGGCAATGACCTGGCCGGCGTCATGGCCCTGCAGCGCAAGCTGACCGGCATGGAGCGGGACTTGGTGGCCATTGAGGCAAAGCTAAGTGACCTGCAGAAGGAGGCGGAGAAGCTGGAGTCCGAGCACCCCGACCAGGCCCAGGCCATCCTGTCTCGGCTGGCCGAGATCAGCGACGTGTGGGAGGAGATGAAGACCACCCTGAAAAACAGAGAGGCCTCCCTGGGAGAGGCCAGCAAGCTGCAGCAGTTCCTGCGGGACTTGGACGACTTCCAGTCCTGGCTCTCCAGGACCCAGACAGCAATCGCCTCAGAAGACATGCCCAACACGCTGACTGAGGCTGAGAAGCTGCTCACACAGCACGAGAACATCAAGAATGAGATTGACAACTATGAGGAGGACTATCAGAAGATGAGGGACATGGGCGAGATGGTCACCCAGGGGCAGACTGATGCCCAGTACATGTTTCTACGGCAGCGGCTGCAGGCCCTGGACACTGGATGGAATGAGCTCCACAAGATGTGGGAGAACAGACAAAATCTTCTCTCCCAGTCACATGCCTACCAGCAGTTCCTCAGAGACACGAAGCAAGCCGAAGCCTTTCTTAACAACCAGGTAAGGTTTCTTACTGCCTGTGCTTTCTTTCCATGAAGGCAGCCCTGGCTGCCTTTTGAAATGTTTTGAATGGGACAGCTGGTTTAAACCACAGCTGTACAGAAATTATATGGATAATTTAGAGACTTTTTTTCTCTATACTTTTAAGGCATTGAAATCCATCCATCACATTGTAGGGGACAGGAACTGAAGATTGCCATAGGAGCTGCCTTGCCTTACAAAGTACCATTCCATTTCAACTGCCATTGAGGTTCCCTTACATGTTCGTAGCATGTCCTCATAATTGCAGTATTGATCCAATTTAAAAGATACAGTGAGGGCCTGTAATCCCAGCTCTTGGGGAGGCTGGAGCAGGAGAATCACTTGAGCCCAGGAGGTCAAGGCTGAAGCGAGCTGTGATCATGTACTGCACTCCAACCTGGGTGGCAGGGTGAGACCCTGTCTCTTTTTAAAAAAAGAAAAGTACAATGAGGATTTCTTTTTTTCTTGAGACCAATTTGTCTTGCTCTAGAAGGGTCAGGGACTTTACCCGAGGACACAAGGCAGAGATTAGAGAAATAGAAACAGCTGAGGATAGTCACGAACTCCAGGGCTGTTACTCAAGAGAGTCCATTGCTGTTGCCTTGACAGGCACGTGAGAGGACCCTTGAGGCCAATACACAAAGCTTTGGTGCCTTTCCGCTCTCACTTTGGAAAAAAAAATTTAGAGCATTTTACCCCTGAGGGAAATTCAGTCACTTAGTGTCCCACTGGGGTTTTTTTTTTCCCTCCTAACTTTTAATTTGATGTGATTTAATTATTTATGTAGTATAATGAAGAAAGTGTTGTGAAGTATGTTGCATGGAAATGTAGAACACAGGAAAATGAGATCTTTCATTAATCTGCTGATTTGTTCCTCTTTTTAAATAAGGAGTATGTTCTGGCTCACACTGAAATGCCTACCACCTTGGAAGGAGCTGAAGCAGCAATTAAAAAGCAAGAGGACTTCATGACCACCATGGACGCCAACGAGGAGAAGATCAACGCTGTGGTGGAGACTGGCCGGAGACTGGTGAGCGATGGGAACATCAACTCAGACCGCATCCAGGAGAAGGTGGACTCTATTGACGACAGGTACAGTTTGCTGACATTCTTAAGGAACCCTTGCACCTTGGAGCTCTCACAGTTCTGAATCATTGGTCAGAAGCCCTTGAGAGTGTGGGTATAAATTTCCCAGTGGGCAGAGTATGGGCACCCAGCAGAACTTCACCTACCCATACAGAAAAATCAGTGAGCCATGCGTGGCTGCCTGAGAATGTGGTTCCGGTGAGACATGTACAAATGTCCACAAAAGGAAAGAAAGCCTGAGAAGCCAAGCTAATTGTTAACCAAGGACCTATGAGAGTTGTAATGCATCGCTATCAGGTGTAAGCCATGCCCTCTGAGGGTTGACACACACATGTGTCACATGATAGGACTCCTGGTGCCAAGTATTCCCAGCCAAGCCTACATTCCCCTTCATCCATGAGAAGGAAGCCTGTCAGGAGAGTGGGAAGGGAGGGTGAGGCTTGCTTGTCCTGAGTACCTGGCATAGCCACAAAAAGTCCATTACCTGGACTTTTTAAAAAAATTGGCTTGGATGATGCTGTAATAGAATCTTTTTCATAATGAGAGGTAAATAAGAGAAAAGATTATTTTCCTCTTCTGCCAGGGCATCTCCAGGATTGGATACACTTTCTTCATTTCTTGTTTAAAGTTATTTGTGTGTGTGTGTGTGTGTGTGTGTGTCTGAAAGATTTCCTCCCTGGCTGGAAGCCAGTGGACTCAATTTGACCCTAACTTTTTGACTCACCCCTTACTTTTTCCTTGCCCCAGTTACTTAAGTTGGTGGTTGGGGCACATCAGGGGTTGGATACACTAGCAGAGGCCAGTCTGGGCCAGCAGCCACTGGATCAGTCACTAGCCTCTTGTTCCGGTTTGGATTGAATTTAAGGGCTTGTGGTGAGACTGTCATCAAAAAACAAGCTCTTTCTCTATGACTGTCTTCTGGCCTTCAAGTGTGTTAGAAAGGAAAAATATTCCCTTGCTTACTACATCCGAGAGGATTTCCTGGGACCCTTGGTTAGGTTGACTTCAAAGAAGATGTTGGGTGGAGAGGGGACTACTCTGTTTTCAGTAAAGGTAGCTCAATCTTTATTGAGCTTAGCACTTCCAATCTTTTTTTCTGAGCTAATTCCCTGCCTGAACTGTATGTTCTTAAGGGTGGTGGTATGGAATAGGACATAACTTACATTAATTATAATTTTGTATCTATTGCTTTTAAAACAGCTGCAAAAAGGAAAAATAAATCCACCACACCCTTCTTAAATGAGTGTGAGAAACAGCGATTGGTCAAGGCATTCTTAACCTAGAGAAAAAGAATTTCCTTTTTTTGTAATATTAACTCGAGTATTTTGTAAATAAGTTATCCTATATGCTTCCATGTTAGGGGCACACAGCTGGTTTCCTGCAGGCGGGCTTGGCCGTTAGAGACGTGTGCATTCAGGCAGCCGTGCAGCTGCCTTGCTGCTTCCTTGCTTTCTTTTTATGTCCCCAGTGCTGCAATTGCACAAAGTTGTTGGAAGCAGATGATGCTGGCAAGACTCCTGGGTATGAGAAAATGTTTCAGCAGCAGCAGCAGCAATCCTCAGTTGTGGCTTAACCTTCCCCTTGCTCTTGACCAAGAGCCCAGGCTCCTGGTGTTCCAGAGCTTCCTTAGGATTCCTCAGTTTTAAAAAAGAAATGTAAAGATGACCCTGTACTATCAATAAGCATAAGAAAGAGGGAAGGAGGGAGCTTCCCAATGACCTGCCATCAAGAGAACTATATATATTTTTTTAAATTTTTCTCCTCTGGTATTAACTGAATTCTGATTTTACTTTAATATCCCCAGAGGCCCACAGAACTAAAACTGACCCTAGAGGATACTTGTCTGTTATGAAAACACACACATCCGTGAGTTCCAGGTGTTGTAAGAGCACAAGCTAAGTAAACATCTAAACCTTCAGATCTAATCCCTGTGCATCAAAACATCCTGATGCTGTGGTGAAGTGATTCTCCCAGAGTGTAAAATCGTTATAATGTGCTTACGTTCAGGAAATCTCCTCAGTTGTTGAAATGAAAAAGTTCCAGAACAAAGACACTGACTCTGACAGATATGGGTGGGGCATGAGTGGCTTTCAAAGTGCCTGTGAAGGGGTTAGAGACTGTCCTTAGCCTACACCAGGGGGTGTGAACAGGGAGGGAGCTCCTGGCAAAAAGGGAAATTCCAACCACAGCACAGTTCATGGGGAGCAAGGAACAGTATCCAGCTTCATAAAGCAAGACCCTGCCTCATACCAGAAAACAGACTCAAAAATTACCCAGCTGTTTCACTCAGGCATCTGAGGTTCTTGACTGTTCACCGAAACCAGAACACCCACAATTGCTTCATACGATGAGGGAGCTTTTTTGAGTCTTATTACAGGGATAGAAAGTGAGAGATGGAGAAATATCAGGAGGCCCCAAATTAAAAGCACTATTAGGACTGTGGAAACTACAGCCTAGTTTTAGAAGATCCTTCTCAGGACCTTCCCTGTAATTGAATCCATGATCCAACATAGAGAGAATTTCCTGAGTTTCTATTCCTATGAAAGATGTCCATTGCACTAGTAAGCTATTAAGCCACACTCACTTCTTTTAAGTGTTTTCTGAGTCAGCAATAGTCCCAGCTGCTTGCATGGCTATGTTTCACACCACACAAAGGCCATTGTCACACCTGCGCGTAGGTCGGTGTCATTTGGACATGTGACTCTAAATCCTTGCCGCCTCCTTCCCATCTTGATGGTCCCAATGTAAGAGAAAGGCTGCATGGGCAGCTATCTGCCAGGCGTGTGTGAGAGGTGATTATATAAGAAATACATTCAGGATTCTGTCTCGTCCTATTTCTCCCTTAATGAATCTTTCCAGACAGTGAAGTTGCTTTCATTTCTGATTAATTCTGTGAGAGACAAGGATGTGTGTCCTGTTGTTAATTTCCAGTATCTGGGATTCTTCCCTGCTACTGTAGGACTTAAATGAGATGCCACACCAAAAGGAACGGAATCCTTTTTCCCAGGCCTTTGACTAGTGGCAGGACTCCTGCGTTTTTCCCTAACTCCAACTCATATTACCTCCCTTCTAAAGATTTGCGTTTTTGAACTCCCCTAGAAATAGAACTGGAATTTGAGGGAAGGGAACTTCCTTTTGACGTTCCTAACCCATCCACGTTCTCAGATGACAAATTCTTTATAGCCCAAATTTAATAACGGTCTTTTATTTTTATTTTTTTATTTAATTTTGGTTTGTGATAATAGATGGCAGTGACAAAATGTCTATGGCCTTTGTTATTTTTTGTTGTTACAAAAGCAATAAATGTGTAACATTTTCAAGGGAGAACTACTGCCCTTAATCCCATCCCTAACATATGCCATTTAAGTGTTTGCTTTCTTTTTTTTTTTGAGACGGAGTTTAGCTCTTGTTACCCAGGTTGGAGTGCAATGGCGTGATCTCGGCTCACCGCAACCTCGGCCTCCTGGGTTCAGGCAATTCTCCTGCCTCAGCCTCCTGAGCAGCTGGGATTACAGGCACGCGCCACCATGCCCAGCTAATTTTTGCATTTTTTTTAGTACAGACAGGGTTTCACCATATTGACCAAGATGGTCTCGATCTCTTGACCTCGTGATTCACCCGCCTCATCCTCCCAAAGTGTTGGGATTACAGGCGTGAACCACCGCGCCCGGCCTAAGTGTTTACTTTCTAACCCGTGCCTTGGAGTTTTATATTGTTTAATATGTATAAACTCTTTTCATTTAGCATTATAGAATAACTATTTTTCTGTGTTTGCATTTTCCCTACATGGTATAAGAATATTAAGATCCCTTTTCCTGATGCTGTGGAACTCCTTTCAACTTAAAAAATTAAAAAGGCATTATTTGTGTCTAACATGCCTTAATAATATTTATAATAATTTTATATAATACTATAATTTACATAATATAATTACATATAATGTTATAATAACATGTAAATATGTATAATTTCTACTGTTCTGTAGCCACTGGTATCAGCAGGAACTCTAGAGGCAGAGGGCTTTTTCCTTTGGTTCTTCAGGCAGACGATGGTTGTGACACTGCATTGTCAGCTGCCACTGAGGACCCATGTGGCACATGCATCTTTCTCCTGGGGAAGTTTCTTCAGACCAATCAGCAGCACGTATTCACCAAGCTGCTGTTACTCAGCATGGTGGGGAATCCAAGGCTGTGTGTTCTTCCACACCTCTGCCTCTGGGGTTAGCTGATGGAGGAGATACCTTGTGTAGGCACATGGCATTGAGAAATCGCTTTAAGAATTAGAATGAAAACTGAGCTCTCCTCAGTTGCACTCTGCCTTTATCCATCTTAATACCCTGAATATAGACTGGCTTTCTTGCTTAGGTGACTCAGGAATGTAAAGCTCGTGTGTGTGTGTGGCATGCACGTCTGGATCCTCAGTGGGTCCTCCCCTATTGGAAATAAAGCTCTCCCTGTTGCAGTGGAGCCACTGGAAGGCAGTCCTTTGCTAGGCGTTCACGCTGCTTTTCCTCAGTTTCCAGTCTCTAAGCCCCTGGGTGCATGAAAGAAGTTTGCCAGAGTGCTGGCACCTTCACAGCAGATGGGGAAGGAGCGAGCACCCCCTTTACGTGAGCGTTTACCAAATTCAGCAGCTCTTTCCAATTCTTACAAGTTATGTTTTTAAGGTTTTGTGTTTTAACTTCTTTGAGCTTTAATTACCCTAATCAATTGATTAGAAATGGGATTCAGTTAGTATATAGTCTTATAGGTCTAAAAATTTTCATTCGTTTTTGTTGTTATTATTTGTACAGTTTTTTTCGAGATGAGAAGCTGTTTATCAGGAAACATTTGTTTAAACGCAGTTACATGATTATATATATTTTCTTAGCACCCAGTTATGAGCTTCTTGAAAATGTTTCAAATTCTCCCCTGGTGCCTAAAATAAGGACTTGTATATAACGTGTCCTCATATTTTTTTCCAAGCACCAAATTTGTATAGATCAATTTGACAGTATGTTTGGCCTGTTGTGTAGCTTGGGCAGGTGTTTGGGTCTCTATGGGACTGTGGCTTACTCCTTTGGAGGATGCTAAAATATCTTCTTTATCTTGTCTCCTTCACATTATTGAGAATTGCAAGCAAACTCTTTTTTAGCATAGATAGAAATTCAGGAAAGAAATTGATTTGTATTCTGTATTTCAAGATTCCCTACTTTCTTTTTTAAAAATTATTTTCGTTACCATTTTAATAGACATAGGAAGAATCGTGAGACAGCCAGTGAACTTTTGATGAGGTTGAAGGACAACAGGGATCTACAGAAATTCCTGCAAGATTGTCAAGAGGTATGTTGCTCTTTAATCCCTCTGTTCCTGAGTTTCAGTAATAACAATTGCCAATCAGCATTTAGCCCAATAGCCTTTTGAATTATAAAATTAATGAAACCAGAAATCCATAGCAACCATTTGACTTGCAGGCAGGGCTATGTGGCACTTAATCAGTTCTCCAGCCTACAAGCTACAGCTTAATTGGACTGTTATAATCTAGAATATTATATTAATAGTATAGTACTGCACTGTTCATTACAGTAGATACCAGCCACAATGTCTTTATGGTTGGTTGGCTATTTCATTTTAAATTAACTGTAATTAAATAAAACTAAGAGCATAGTTCTTCCATCACTCTAGCTCAGGCGTCCCCAAACTTTTTACACAGGGGGCCAGTTCACTGTCCCTCAGACCGTTGGAGGGCCACCACATACTGTGCTTCTCTCACTAACCACCAATGAAAGAGGTGCCCCTTCCTGAAGTGCGGCAGGGGGCCGGATAAATGGCCTCAGGGGGTGCCAAATGCGGCCTGTGGGTCGTAGTTTGGGGTCGCCTGCTCTAGCTATATCTTAAGTGCTCAGTAGCCAGCTGTGACTAGTGGCTACCATGTTGGACAACACAGATTTAGAACATTTCCATCATCAAAGGAAGTTCTTTTGGATATGATGTCCTAGAATATTGTGCAACGTAAAAGCATTTAGTGTCATGTTTTCACTCTGTAAAGCAATGTACATTTCAATAACATGGAAGGAAAGAACTGAAGGGAACTGAAACTGGCTACCAAGTAAGAAGCAGTGATTTTAAAAATACAAATTAGTTTCTTACTTGCCTAAGACCTTCATCTCTCCATCTTTCAGGCTCTTCCCATGTGTATCTAACATGCAAAGAGTAGTAATGTTGATTCTAAGCACCAAGTTTTAACATGTGGTATTAATCTGATGATCATTGTACTATTTCATGCTCTTCTGATAGATGTGCAAACTTTGAAAACTAAATCTGGCCAGAAAAAAGTAGTTTCTCTGCAAGCTAGTTGGAGAAAAGCATCTAGCTGATTTCACATGTGAGTTCATGAGCACACCATATTTCTCTGTCTACTGGAGAACAACAGTGAGACTCAGCCCTCTCTGGTTTATTAAAATAAAAATCCTCAGAGGTAAAAATGGGCTGAGGAATAGCCACACAAAGCTGCAGGAACCTTGAAGGGGCTAAGAGTGTGGGGGTAGAATCAGGTCATGTGCTAAGAATACGATTCCAGTCATCATGGATACCCTGCATGCAAACATGTGACTGTACATTAAAAGAAATATGGCTCCAATGACAATTGCATTAGATCACATATGACAGAAGCAATCCTTTGCATCCATTAAACTGCTGTCTTACTGTGCATTTTGTAATAGGCTCTTGCAGCAAAACCTTAAGAAGGAAAGCCCCTAAACTATGAAGCTTAGGGTCTGTCAGCTTTAAGCACCATATTGACAAATCTAGGTCTCTGGGGGATTTGCCCGGAGCCAGACAGACTGAAGACAGGAGTGCCTCTCTTCTAAGTGACATGCAAGCATTAGTAACCCATTTAAATAGGATACTCACTTACAGAGGCATTCATGTCCCGAGACAGGGTGTAGAAGAGAGTAATGGGATCTAAAGTTAGCTGTGTGGAGTTGCCTAGTGTGCTGCAGTGAATACCAACTGCCATTTTTCACTGGAGGTAATAAAAGGGATAAAGAGGTGTTTGCAGCCTGGGCTGTGCCTTCCACAGATTGGTAGTCCCTGTTTCACCTTGACGTCCCCTTGAGGAACCATTGATGACTCTCTCTAACCTCAGCCCATATTCCTGGGGATGGAGGGATCAATGAGATCCCACATTCCTGCTTTTAAAGGGCAAGTTAATAAGATTAAATTCGTTCATCTAACCATGGTAAAGCTCAGGTTAAATCTGAGGAAAAACAAGGCCAGGGAGCAAGCAGATGAGTGGCCAGGGGGAAACCTTGAGAGAAACCCATTTGTACTTGAAATTTCCAGTCTCTTATCTTCCACTGACATATGTAAATTACATAAGGAGACATGTATGGGAAAAATAAGTAGATAAAGTTATAGTTCTTCCCAATAGAATCACAGGTGGTTAGTCTTACTAGGTCTTTAGAGCTTCGTTTCCACTTGTTCTAAATTAGCATACCTGCTTATGAGAAGTTCACTCCTCCACACATACCTTGGCTGAGTTCCAGTAACTGTGAGGTGTGCCCAGGGGCTCTGTCTTCTGTGACTTCTCCTCAAAGGATACAGGAAAGTTTGGGTGGGGCTTTTTATGTCCAGGAGATGATTTGCAGGTCTCCATGTGACTGCTGTGCCAAGTCATCCTGGTTATCCTGTCTTCCCTTGTTCTGCCTGTCTCTCCTTGAGCCACATTAGAAGTTAGTACAGCACAGTCATAGTGTCTGTGGGAGGTGTTGGGTGTCCTACACCAGTATGTATAGTCTCTGCATGGTTGGTAGAATTTAGGTTAAGCTTGGGGGCTCTAAAACCTCTGGTATAGTAATGTAATCAAAACGGTGACAAGTTGTTGGCTATAAACTTTTCCGTCATTCAGCCTTATTAAAATACACCCCTTTAATGCCAGAATCTTTTGAGAGTGTCGTTTGTGTGTGGACCAGCCCTACATTTGATAATCTGCCTGTCATTTCAGTAGAATTTACAGAGCACTCAGAGGTCAAATTTAATATTCTTACAGGATATTTGTGTTGTTCAAGGTGTGAGGAATCCAGGGGTTTGTGGTTTTTTTCTTTTTCAGCTTCCTTTCTTATTGGGTGCCTTGGCTAGAGAAGGTGTGGATTGTGAGATCTGCCCCTGCTGCCACCCCACCACCTAGATGAGGACAGCTATTGTACCAGCAATACAGTACGCTGGTACATGCAGTATGCTGAAACGAGCAGGGGCCCTCCTATTCTCAGTTGTAGTGGGAAGACAGAGAGCATCATCATCTTTGTAGTGTTTGTTGTCGTTGTTGTTTTGAGGCAGTCTCGCTCTGTTGCCCAGACTGCAGTGCAGTGGTGGGATCTCAGCTCACTACAGCCTCCACCTCCTGGGTTCAAGTGAGTCTCCTACCTCAGTCTTCCAAGCTGGGATCCCAGGTGTGTGCCACCACACCTAGCTAGTTTTTGTATTTTTAGTAAAGATGAGGTTTCACCCTGTTGGCCAGGCTGGTCTCGAACTCATGGCCTCAAGTGATCCACCCGCTTCTGCCTCTCAAAGGGCTGGGATTACAGGTATGAGTCACCGGGCCAAGCCTGTAGTGTTATTTTAATGTGATGTTATGAAAAATGAATGAAGTATTTTAAAAGTATTGCTTTTTTATTGTCTTTCTCACACTATACCACCTATTTTCTGGAACTGATTTTTATTTTTCCAGGAAGACAGTATATCTGCATGTGTCTGGTACAGGGACGTGAGTTAGTCCTTTGCTGTTAGCTTAATTCAATGATCAAAGCATTTTTTCCTTATCTTCTTCCAATCTGCACAGTGTTCTTTTTTGCAGAGAATGAGCAAATTTTTAAATGAGCTTTGTAAATTCCCACAAATAATTGTAGCTCTGGCTCCAAAATGCTGATGAACTAGCAAGTTCCATAGATCCATTTCATTATGCTGTATTGCATGTTGCTTTATCTGTAGGATGATGTGTTCAGCAAAGAGCAGATTTGTTTATAAGCCTCTGATTTTTATGTAGCACACTCTCTCTCTTTTTTTAATCCCTCTTTGGTAGGTGGTTATGAATAGTGAAAATATGTGAATGTCCTTGGCACTTTGAATCAGTAAATGCATTCTATTTTGCGTGTACGTACAGAATACAGGGAAAAATTTTGTCATTCAGTTTCCCTTTAACTTCTTTTCTCCTAAGATTGGCCATAGTCTTTCAGGTTTTAGTTGCTCAGATAACTGGAACCTAGATAATTCTAACTGGAACACATATATAATTCTTTCAAAGTAGGAAGTGAAGTGGCAATGTCTTTATTGTGTAATAGATCCATGATCTTTGATGACAGAGGGCTTTATGAGATTTGCTATTTTTTTCCTCAGCAAAGAGTGACAAAAATCTCACTACCTTTTGCTTTTAACACCCTTCCACCCCTCGCCCCCACCCCAATCCCTGCGTGGTGAATAGCTCAAGAAAGGTAAGGACGATACCCAAGAGTTCACCCACTTTCAGAGCCAGGGGGCTCCTGTGACCCACATCGCTGTCCTTGGCATCATTTTCAAAAAACATATCTATGGGGAAGCCTCTCCAGGCAGCAGCCCAGAGCCAGAGTGGAAGGCCTTGGAAATGTTAATTCTTTAAGGACTTCTACTGGTTTTATGTGCCACTTCTAGATCTTTGTTGAGAGAACTATGAAGGATTTAAGGTGCAAATTTGTTGTGCCAGTAACTGTTGTAAAAGTGGGCTTCTCACGGTCACTCAGGAGAAAGGACATGGTTCCTGTAGTGGTTGATTCTGATTCTAGGCTAGCTCTGCATTCTTTTGTGTATCTTCAGCCTAGGCAAACAAAAAGCTCTTCCTAGGTTAGCACAGCTAAGGGGGTGGGAATCAGGACTCTGGCATGGCTTTTACAGGCAAGCAGTAATGAGCAAGGGCTGATTCAGGACGGAAGCCAGCAAAAGTGGGTCTGGGCCTGCCATTTGGCTGACCCTGTTAAGAGAGCTCCCTTCTCAGGTCTGTCAGCGGCCAGCAGCTTTTGTGTGGCTCTCCACAGTTCAGATTCAAGCGCACATGTTGGATCTCAAAATCAAGTCTTGTGAAGTGTTCTTGGTGTGAATGAGAGGTTCTTTAGAGAACTAGAGGCTACGGAAGAAAGAGGTGAAGGTGACTCAAATTTGAAGGAAACATCGAAAGGGCATCATTGTTGCCCTAGTCCTACAGTGAGCAAGTTATTTATGCCTTTTGGCATTTTTGTAGATGCACCCGCGAAAAGGGGAAGGTAATACGTGAGTAGGGTTTTTTTTGTTGTTTTTTGTTTTAAATAAAAAGAACTAAAAGAGTAAGAAGGATTGCCAAATGGAGTAAAAGTCAATCATGATTAACACAGTATAGCTGACACAGGTATTTGGAAGAGGAAAAGGGTCATGTCTTGAACTGGTTAGGGCAGAATTTTAAACACAAGCCTTTTGGGGAAAGCCAGTTACGAGTGCCAAATCGTTTGAAAGCTAGCTCATAGAGCATTTGTACTTCTGGAATGAATGTTAGATATTATTTGGAGCAGAGCTCAGGTACAAGCTCCATCTGATGGATACCTGTCATGATGGGTCAGAGTTGTGAAGTTAAATATTTGGTTGTCTCTTGCCATGGAAACATGTATAGTATGCATAATATGACATAAACATAACCCTTACTAGGCAGAAGAAAGGCTGATGTCTAGGATCACAATCTCTGAATCCTTCTGATCTTTCCCTAGCTATCTCTCTGGATCAATGAGAAGATGCTTACAGCCCAGGACATGTCTTACGATGAAGCCAGAAATCTGCACAGTAAATGGTTGAAGCATCAAGCATTTATGGCAGAACTCGCATCCAACAAAGAATGGCTTGACAAAATCCAGAAGGTGAGTTAAAGTATTTGATGTGGCCAATGTGAGAAAACAAACAGGGTAGTAATGAATTCCTTTTTATTTAGCGCGTTTTCCAACACCTCAGAGTCTTACCTGTGCATTTATGTAAGTTACACAGCCAGTAGTAGCTCCCTTCACAGTTACGGGTTCCTGACTTCAACCCTTCAAAAGGGAAAAAAACTGAAACCAAACCAGATGGTACAAAACACTTGATTTATCTTAGAACGAATACTAGGCATTTAGTTTCTGCCGTGCTTCTCATCTGCTGCAGCTGACGGACTGTGAGCGCTTATGCAGGGATTCCACTGTCTTGATCCTATCATTTGTGTTGCTCTGTGACAGATTTATCAGATACAGTTGCACATAATTTTAAATATGTACATATTTTTTAAAATTTATCTATTTTTCCTGTGACACTACTGTATACTAGGCACTAGAATTATTGTAATGCGTTATTCTGGCACAGAGAGATTCTGTGCAGTATAACTGAAGATGAATGTGGAGTTCACCATCCCTCCTTTCTCTCCTTTTAGACTTTTATATTGTTTCAGATTCTTCATGGTTAAAATAATGTTTCGACAGGGCACAGTGGCTCATGCCTGTAATCCCAGCACTTTGGGAGGCCAAGGCTGGTGGATCACTTGAGGCCAGGAGTTTGAGTCCAGCCTGGCCAACATGGTGAAACCCCGTCTCTACGAAAAATATAAAAACTAACCAGGCCTGGTGGTGTGCACCCTTAATCCCAGCTATTGGGGAGGCTGAGGCACGAGCCCAGGAGGCAGAGGTTGCAGTGAGCTGAGATCACACTGCTGCACTTCAGCCTGGGTGACAGAATGAGACCCTGTCTCAAAATAACACTGATAATATTTTTTATATGATCTTTGGTCATGGAGTGGAGGTGATGAAGTCAGGTTATTGGCAATTCAATATTCCATTGCCCCAGTTGAAACTGTTTCAGCATGTAGCACTTAATTGCTTCATTCGCATGAAACCCATGTAATTTACACAACCTACGCCATTGTCGATTTTATTGAGCAGTAACTTCATGTGGAAAGACTGTGTTAAATGAATGGGTATATGGGTATATCACAGATCAAATGTCCTAAGTTTGTTTTTCACAGTGACATTTTTTATGCAGCAAACTATTTATTTAGAACCATGCTGGTTTGTGTTTTCCAGGAAGGAATGCAGCTCATTTCAGAAAAGCCTGAGACAGAAGCTGTGGTGAAGGAGAAACTCACTGGTTTACATAAAATGTGGGAAGTCCTTGAATCCACTACCCAGACCAAGGCCCAGCGGCTCTTTGATGCAAACAAGGCTGAACTTTTTACCCAGAGCTGTGCAGATCTAGACAAATGGCTGCACGGCCTGGAGAGTCAGATTCAATCTGATGACTACGGCAAAGACCTGACCAGTGTCAATATCCTGCTGAAAAAGCAACAGGCAAGTGGACAAGCCGTCATGGACTTGGGTGTGTTTCTGTTTTACAGCCACAGTCCTTAGAGTCTTTACTCACTCACCGCATTCTCAGGAGTCCACCCTCCATGGGAAGGCATTTTTAACCCGGAAAAGTACTTGCTCTAACAGCATCATAGGACATTTCCAGAATAGAAAGACATGATTCCAGACTAGAAAGACACAATGTTAGGAGTACTGGGTGTTGGCTGTATGTGCATGGAATTGATAGTTTTCTTAGTTACTGGGTATTATTACCATTTAACAGTTGAATAAATAATTATCTCATGCAATTCTGCATTTTTTTTTTTTTTTTTTTTTTTTTTTTTTTTGAGACGGGGTTTTGCTCTTGTTACCCAGGCTGGAGTGCAATGGCGCGATCTCGGCTCACCGCAACCTCCGCCTCCTGGGTTCAGGCAATTCTCCTGCCTTAGCCTCCTGAGTAGCTGGGATTACAGGCACGTGCCACCATGCCCAGCTAATGTTTTGTATTTTTAGTAGAGACGGGGTTTCACCATGTTGACCAGGATGGTCTCGATCTCTCGACCTCGTGATCCACCCGCCTCGGCCTCCCAAAGTGCTGGGATTACAGGCTTGAGCCACCGCGCCCGGCCTGCATTTTGCATGAAAGAAATATTCACATACTTTGCTGTTTAACGTCTTGATTTGTGACAGTTATCTGAGTTGTTCAAGGCACTTTATAGATAATAAAAGTAGCCATTTATTTCATACCTTTAACGTCTTGATTTGTGACAGTTATCTGAGTTGTTCAAGGCACTTTATAGATAATAAAAGTAGCCATTTATTTCATACCACAGTAGAGGGCTTTAAGGGCAAATGAATTTACCTCAAATTTACTGGAAAACAGTTCCATTGATTTTGAAAAAGCAAGTCAGTGGCAAAATCTTCCAGTGGCCCATCCAGTGGCCCAGGTGGCTGTCTTTGCAGTATGGCCAAGTCCCAGGCCCAGCAGTTCTGCTTAGAGCCAGTCACTGCAAAAGATAGTCTCTGCTGAGTGCTGAGGCTGTTTCTCTGCCCTCAGATGCTGGAGAACCAGATGGAAGTGCGGAAGAAGGAGATCGAAGAGCTCCAAAGCCAAGCCCAGGCCCTGAGTCAGGAAGGGAAGAGCACCGACGAGGTGGACAGCAAGCGCCTCACTGTGCAGACTAAGTTCATGGAGTTGCTGGAACCCTTGAAAGAGAGGAAGCATAACCTGCTGGCCTCCAAAGAGATTCACCAGTTCAACAGGGATGTGGAGGACGAGATCGTGAGTTGACCCCCGCTGCACACGTGACTTTTCCACAAGCTCCCTTGTCTGCCCTGAAGCCCAATGTTCTTACTTCTCAGTCAACTTCACCTTGGGCCATGTCGGCAAGCTGAGGTGTCAAAGTCCTCACTCTATATGGTCGAAAATTTCTTTCCCTTCTCACACTACATAAAACTCCATTGTTCCTCTCACATTATCTAGAGATACTCTAGGATTTTAATGACCCTAGAACACGCTGTATAAAAGTAGTGAGGACTCTGAGTGAGTTTGACCTTGAGGATGAGGTAAAGTTGGAAAGAAGCGCCCTAGCCCTGTATTGGAGAACAAGGGCCTGCTTCCCCAGAAAGCCCTCCCGACGGGGCTGGGCCCTCTCTGAAGCTCGTCCTCGCTGTCCGTCACTGCCCCTTACTGCTCTTGTTTGTGTCATGTATTTGTTCCTCTGAGTGGATCTGACTACTTACTTACAATTCTTCCCAGTTGTGGGTTGGAGAGAGGATGCCTTTGGCAACTTCCACGGATCATGGCCACAACCTCCAGACTGTGCAGCTGTTAATAAAGAAAAACCAGGTAAGCCTTTCTGCTTGGGCTAGCTCTGTCTGATAAATAATTGCTCTAAGTTATGAGACCGAGAATGGCAGAGAGCTTTGAAGCCTTGCGATTTCTTTTTGGCCCTAACAGCTTGACATAAGCACCAGCCGGTTGCCATTTAGCAAGCCTTTGTGTGTGTTTTCTGCTCCCTCCAGACCCTTCAGAAAGAAATCCAGGGGCACCAGCCTCGCATTGACGACATCTTTGAGAGGAGCCAAAACATCGTCACAGATAGCAGCAGCCTCAATGCTGAGGCCATCAGACAGAGGCTTGCCGATCTGAAGCAGCTGTGGGGTCTCCTCATCGAGGAGACTGAGAAACGCCACAGGCGGCTGGAGGAAGCGCACAGGGCCCAGCAGTACTACTTTGATGCTGCTGAGGCCGAAGCCTGGATGAGCGAGCAGGAGCTGTACATGATGTCAGAGGAAAAGGCCAAGGTGAGAGGAGGCGGGAAGCAGTCCTGCCCCAGGAGCGCCTCAGATTCAGACCCTGAGCTTGCTTTCTGTCGGTAGCTGTTTCTGTAGAAACTTCCCTTGTAACCTTTAAGTGTTAAGGGTACCCCATGTGCATGAAGGTGTCTGAAATTCAGCTGCTGGTTTCCCCTTGATGCAGCATTTTCTTATCTGAATCCTAGTGTGCCATTAAGACCAGGTTCATCCTGTCATCTTTGAAATATGCCAGAGTCCTTCCTGCTGTCTATTTATAGGTTCCCTGAACTTTACAAAATTGAAGATGGCTTGGAGACAATTTGAAAGTATTGCAAGGTTCCAGGAATGCTGCTATTTACATACCTGATGGACCATGAGGAATTCCAGTGAGCCAGGCACATTTGGTCTGCCTGAGCTTTTCTCTGAGAGTGGTCTTACTCATTCCGCATTCTCCTCATATTTATCATCTGCACAGCCTTCTGTGGTCCCGTCCATGTGGAAGCTCTTGGAACACTTCTGTGTTCCACTGTCCATACCACACCTCTGGAGTTTTTCTTTCTACTGATCCTTCCTCCTACCCCACTTAGCAGCTAGTCTGTCACTCCTTGAGGTGGTGTAGGGCCAGAGGGGATGGCTATGGTTGTGACATTCTCCTGTCTTTCCAGGATGAGCAGAGCGCTGTCTCCATGTTGAAGAAGCACCAGATTTTAGAACAAGCTGTGGAGGACTATGCAGAGACTGTGCATCAGCTCTCCAAGACCAGCCGGGCCCTGGTGGCCGACAGCCATCCTGAAAGGTGAGTGCCCCTTCATGAAGGTGAGACCCGGCTCTCAATTCCTCTCAGCAAGGGTCCCTTGCTAACCCACACTGAAAGAAAATGTGGCAGCATTCATCATGAATTGCTAGTAAGGCAAATCGTTAAGAAGCATTTTTAAAACAGACCCAGTAGGCCTATCATGATTAGGATGGGCGAACTGTTATATTAAGAAATTGCTTTTGTGGGTTAAATATCTCCTGTTGGCCAAGGCTCTACTGAAAGAGTGTTGGTGTCATGAGTCAAAACTGCAGGTTGACTAGGCTGGGCAGTCAATCTACAGTGGTTACATTTGTAATCTCAGCACTTCAGCAAGCCAGGGAGGGAGTATTGCTTGAGGCCAGGGACCAAAGACCAATCCTGGCAACATGGCAAAACCTCATCTCTACAAAAAAAATACAAAAACCATCTGGATGTGGTTGCACATGTCTGTAGTTCCCAGCTACTCAGGAGGCTGAGGTGGGAAGGATGGTTTGAGTCCAGGAGTTTGAGGCTTCAGTAAGTTATGATCACACTGCTGCCCTCCAGCCTGGGTGACAGAGTGAGACCCTGTCTCAAAAAAAATAAAAATTATCAGAAGTACAGGTTGACTTGCATGGATGCAGATAGTGGTAGCACTTACCCTTGGGTTGAAAAAGTCATGCAGTTTAGGAAAGTAATTATTAGTTTTAAGAGGAGTATTAGACAAGAATGCATAGACCTATAAAATGCAGGGGTTCCCAGGAAGAACAAAATGATAACACCTCCTAAGTCTTACACATCAAGTGATGAGAATAAGAGAGCTGAGTGTGTGGTACTCATCTACTCTAGACCAGGCTCCTCTATCAACTTCCCAAATCAGTCATTTTAGGCTTTTTGTATAAATGCCTTTTATGACTTGGAAAGGAATTTGCCTTATGCATTTAACCAAGATAGTTTGGGGGAGATGAGGTCAGTGGCTCTGTTGTTGTAGGAGGTTCTTAAGCTGTTCATGATCAGGATTCCCAGGAAAGCGTTCCTCGTAGTCTCCAGGGATAAGTACTATGATGTCTTTGTCTCTCATGTTCTGATTTGAGACCATTACTCTGGGGAGAAGTTGGAGGGAGGGGGATTTGGTCTCATGGCTGCACACCTGGGACTTGTGAGATGGCAGTGGCTGATCCAGCCCTCCTAACAAGAATGAGCACTCAGCCCAGAGAAGGTAGGCCCATGTGTACCACACAGGGTTTGTCATTTGTCCCTCAGGCAGTGTAGTAACAGAGAATGCAAGACTGCTCTGGATTTTGTGTTATTTTATTTTTTATTTTGCCACCTTCCTGACTGGGAAGATTTTGCATTAACTTTTAACATCAAAGGAAATCCTGATTTGCCAGTGGTGGAGAGAGAATTTCCCCCTCTACCCCATACATTCGCCTACCCCCACTATTACATTAGGGATGGCCTTTGGCCTTAATTACTGACATTGTGTACATACTGGCTCTTCAAGTGACTTCAAATTGTGTCCAATTTCAGAGTTTTATTTTTCATGCTAAGTAGATCAACCAGTTTCCTTTGAGGAATACGATGTAATATGCTCTCCCATTATCTCCGCCACATTTGTTTTTCCCTGAAGAAAACTGACTTTTAAGTTACTTTTTCTCCCCATTGCTCCCTTTCTTTTTCAGTGAACGCATTAGCATGCGGCAGTCCAAAGTGGATAAACTGTACGCTGGTCTGAAAGACCTTGCTGAAGAGAGGAGAGGCAAGCTGGATGAGAGACACAGGTTATTCCAGCTCAACCGGGAGGTAGACGACCTGGAGCAGTGGATCGCTGAGAGGGAGGTGGTCGCAGGGTCCCATGAACTGGGACAGGACTATGAGCATGTCACGGCAAGTACTTCAGACAGTACATGAGTTGATTGTGTAGTGAGCGATGGTGCGGAGGGCCATTTGCATGCCTTATCTGTGAGCAGATAAGATGCCCTGTACTCCAATCATAGGTCTTGAGGTTTAGTTTTAAGGTGGTGTTTCTTTTATAAGCAGGTGACTTGCATTTAGATTGGCTAACCTCTCTGTGCACCCCTTCCCCAGTAGTTAAAGGAAGTGGAGGTAGTGCCTTACTCTGCTGCAGTGACCAAGAAGGAAACCCGATTGCTAAGAGGTTCTCGAGCTAAGATCTGTTGTTCTTAAGTCATGAGTATTATGGTTACGTCTTGCTTAGAGGCAGTTTCTTTCCAAAGGCTATTCGTGTGATCAAGAAATAGTTCACAATGGGCTCACCGGTTTCCTTACCCATCCTCGTTTCAGATGTTACAAGAACGATTCCGGGAATTTGCCCGAGATACTGGGAACATTGGGCAGGAGCGCGTGGACACAGTCAATCACATGGCAGATGAGCTCATCAACTCTGGACATTCGGATGCCGCCACCATCGCTGAATGGAAGGATGGCCTCAACGAAGCCTGGGCCGACCTCCTGGAGCTCATTGACACAAGAACACAGATTCTTGCCGCTTCCTATGAACTGCACAAGTTTTACCATGATGCCAAGGAGATCTTTGGGCGTATACAGGACAAACACAAGAAACTCCCTGAGGAGCTTGGGAGAGATCAGAACACAGTGGAGACCTTACAGAGAATGCACACTACATTTGAGCATGACATCCAGGCTTTGGGCACACAGGTGGGTAGGGCAGCCGCCTATGGGTAGTGGGGAGGCTTTCTCTCCATAGAACATCTTCTTGCATCTCTGAGTATCTCCCTGTTCCTTGGCTCCTCAAAAGAATTGTCCCAGTTAAGGACATACATGTACCCTCTTTGTAATAGTGCTCCATTTGGGAGAACTTACCAGTCCATAAAAGTCTACATTTGCCGCATTTGCAAACCTTAGATGAGTGTCCCCATAATTAAAATAAACAAACCTGATGCATACACAGACACATGGGAGTCACAGGCCTTAGCGAGAGTTTTTATTGTTAGCATATTCATCCAGAACAATTTCCAAAATAATACCTTACTATTTTTTTTATCAACCGGGTTCTAAGTTATATGCCTGGAAAAAGAAAAAAACTGGATTCTGACATTTTAGCGTGCCTGGTCCACAGTATAAAATGACTGGCACTAAGGCTTTGTTTAAAAAATATTTGACAGAGTGTAACAATATGGCAGAATCTGGTGTAATCACTCTCTAGTTTCCTTTCTGATCTCTGCACAGTTTCTTATTTTAGTCTTATGCCTTTTAGTTGAAAAACAAATTGTATTTTTTTCTTCTAAGTTTCACGGTCCTAGAGAAGAAGGTAGTTTTATTAAAGATGTTATCCCTGATGATGTCAGGGGTTTTGTTCTTGTTGTTAAGAGTATACTGAGTATCTAGATTATCTCAGCTTTTTCCATTAAAAGCCAAATAGTAAATATTTTCAGCTTTATGAGATTCATACTCTCCGTTGCAGCTCTGCCCTCTGCCATTGTAGCATAAAGCAGCTATAGACTAGTGAGAAGATGAATGAGCTAGGTGTGTTCCTGTAAATCTGTATTTACAGAAACAGGCTGCCCAGATACAGCCTTGGGCCCTCAGCCTCTAGAGGGCTTTGGTATACTTCGGGATTTGTTCTGTGAAGGGACCACCTTGGTGGTGGTTCTCTCTCACTTCCTCTTAATTCTTAATTCCTGTCAATGTGACTGCAAGTTTAATTTACCTCTCTAAGCTTTGGTTCCCTAATAGTTTAGGGATTGAGATGCAAAATGTATAGCATAGTGAGATCTCTATAAATGTTTTCTAATTATTATGGTATTACAAAAGTTTAGGGAAACATGGGATACCTAGAGATAGAATTAGAAAATGCCTTAGCAGCGTAGGTCTTTGCTCTGCACCTGTAAAATCATTTACTTTTAGAAAGATACTTGAGACATAATGGAGTTGCTCTCTCATTTTTTCATTAAATCCCTTCGCCTCCTTAGACTTAGAGATGAGGAAGCCCAGGAAGGGTCTCAGAACATCCAGGGTGGGAATCTAGTCCTTTAAGTCTGACAGTCTGCACCTCACCACACCCACTGGGCTATGATGTTTATAGCTGTAAAAGGGATATGTGTCCTATTGCAGGTATTGGCCTGATCTGTGTTTATTTTCACAGAGTAACAGAGCAGAAGGGAAGGCTCTTGATGCAGGCCCCCAAGAGCATGTGGTGCTTCCTCTTTGGTTGTTTCCTGTGCCAGCATGACCTGCCACTGTCTCCATTCTGCACAGGAGCAGTGGGAGTGACACATAGCACTGATGAAGGTCTTGAGTGTTTATGCAAAGCAGTAGTTAATATTCGTGGAAATTTTTACTTGCTATCCTTTTCTACTTGACGTTTTATTGTGAGAAGCAATTTATAGAAAACAACCAGAGACACGGAAACAGGTGTTTTTAAAAATGTGATTTGTTGTGTAGGAAAATTAGCTTTTCAAATTATTTCCTAGGAATTTGCTCATTGTAATTCAAGTTAAACCTGGGCCATAATCAAAGAATGTTTCCAAAAGTCCCTTGGGATATTGAAATCAAATCACAATGGAAACCAAAGCCCATTGGTTCTTCTTTGCATCTTTTGCAGAAACTGCTTTTTTTTTTTAACCTATTATCACCTGAAGTCCTTGTGTGCAATCAGGAATCAGTAATCCACCTCCCTACAAGCCCTAATGCTGTCCATCCCCACCCCCTTTTACTCCACTTAGCATTTCTCCAAATACTACTCTCACAGACATCTGAAAGCTCTCATCATCCAGGACAGTTGTCTGCAGACTTCTTTGATCATGCAGTTTTATCTGTAAATGATGATTGGGTGTCCATTTCCCTCTATGTGTTTGTCTTTAATTAGACATTGTGCACAAGTGTGGCACTAGTAATGTTATGTACTTTATATAAGACATGTAAGAGGAGAAAATTTAACTGTAACATTAGCTGCACTTAGTAGCTTCAGTTATAAAGACATATACCATCCCCCCAAAAAGGTAAGAGTGTATTCTTATTTTTGTTTTTACAGAGGAAGAATATTATGCACATTGTCTACACTGTTTATTCCACTTAGTCATCTTGGTGTGTTTTTCACGTTGACTGCATAGAAGCCCTTCCTCATTCTTTTTCATGACTGTATAGGAGTCTCCTGCTGGATGAACCATCATTCATTTACCCAGTCCTTCACTAATGGACACTTACTTTAGTTTTAGTATTTTGCTTTTATAGACACTGCAGCAGTAAATAATCTATGCATATTTCATTTTCTAAATACACAAGAATATATGTAGGATATATTCTCCAAAGTAGGATCATAAAATCAGAAAGTACAGAAAGTATTGCATTTATAATTTTGGGGGGGTATTGCCCATTTACCTTCTGTAGGAGCTGTAGCCTGTTAACACTCCTGTCTGCAAAGAATGAGGTCACTGACAAATATATCATCACACTTGGATTTTTGCCAATTAATAGATGACACATTACAATATTTCCATGAAGCCTCTTTTCATGTTTAAGACCCATTTGCATTTCCTGCTCTCTGAACATTCTCTTCATGCCAGTTTCTGTATTGGTTTGTTGGTCTTGTCTTGTCTTGTCTTTCCTTTCTTTTCTTTTTTCTTTTCTTTGTTTTTCTCTCTCTCTCTCTCTCCCCCCCTTTTTCTTTTCTTTTCCCTTCCTTTCTCCTTCCTTCCTCCCTCCCTCCCTTCCTTTCTTCCTTCCTTCCACCTGTCATAGCTGAAAAGGATAACCAAAATATCTAGATGTAACAAGAAGTACATCACTGGCTCCATTTACCAAATCACAATTCTCAATGTTAACTTTCAGTTTTACAAGGTTTTTGTTGAAATTTGGCTATTTCAAGTTTTACCTTCTTTAACATTTAGTTATTTTAACCATATTGGATGCCACATTTTTATGTTTTCTGAGTGTAAAAGTCCCATGATGAGAACTATAGGCAGTACATACATTGTATCCACATAGCAATGGGAAGTAATTTTCAAAATGTGTTCCTCATGGCAGTTTGCCGTTCTTTATAAAAACATTTATCTTTACCCCGAGATAGCAGATTAGGTATTTATTTCTTTAACTGTATCTGAATACGTCCCACTCAGATATCTCAGGCTGCCTCCAGGCGACTTTCCTGACTAAGCTCTCCTGCCAGTCTTCCTGTAGCATTTCATTAGTTTTATCATTCATGCAGAACTTACTAATGTAGTTGAATAGATTTATAGAAAACTTGGATATCCCCAGTGAAATTGAGGGCTCTTTGAGGGCCACAGGCCATGTTTTGACTCCGTGTTCCCTTTACTGTGTGAGCAGAGCGGAAGAGGGGTTGGGGTGATGGTGGAAAGGCCACCATGCACTGACCTCGCTCGTTACCCACATGGCTTCACAGGTGAGGCAGCTGCAGGAGGACGCAGCCCGCCTCCAGGCAGCCTATGCGGGTGACAAGGCCGACGACATCCAGAAGCGCGAGAACGAGGTCTTGGAAGCCTGGAAGTCCCTGTTGGATGCCTGTGAGAGCCGCAGGGTGCGGCTGGTGGACACGGGGGACAAGTTCCGCTTCTTCAGCATGGTGCGCGACCTCATGCTCTGGATGGAGGATGTCATCCGGCAGATCGAGGCCCAGGAGAAGCCAAGGTAATGCTTCCAGCCTGAAGGAAATTGGACTCATTGGCCCTTGGTTAAAACATAGAAGGAGTTCTCCAGTGAGAAGCAGGAGCTGTGAAAGCAGTTCTTGCCTGAGAGCCTCAAGGCCCAAGCGCCGAGGGGAGGTGCTTGGAGTGTGTGGGGCACAGCACCCCTGCTTCGGTTGCCTCCTGAACACCTTTACCAGAGAAATGGGGGTCCTGGGGTTATCAAAGCCTCTCCCATTCTCCCCACTCCTGGCTCACATGTTCTACAGTCACTCAGGCCCTCTAGCCCACATCCATGCTTAAAGCAGGACCTCGTGCTTCAAGTAGCCGCATACCTTGGGCACAAATAACTGCCCCATCTTTGCAGTGATACGGCTTTTCTGAGTTATTTTTCTGTGCTTGCTTTTTGGATTAAAAACCAGTCTATCTCCTTTTTATGCATATTATTAAAAGTGTCACCCTCGACATCTGCTTTAATGGTGTCCCTGGGTTATTTAATATTTTTCCTGTATCATTGGCTTCATTTTATGCAAATTAGTGAAGAGAAGTTAATAGATGAACACAGAAGTAACATATCTAACCTCCAGTTCACCCTTCTGCCAGCTCCAGCCTCTACTGTAATTGAGAAATAAACTATGCCACAATAAAAGGAGTATTTTTATTATATGTATTTTTGAAGCAGTTGTATTTTCTGGATCAGGGTCAGTAGGTTTTGATCTATGCTGGTCGCTGCTGTCTGGGCTGGTTCCCATCCTGTGTCTCTTTCTGTGTCTGAATAAGGAGACTGTATTAGCTGCTCTTTGATATATACATCCTGAATCTTTGACAGCTCACTCATCAAGGGTGTGATTGGAGCGTCTATTACTGCTTCTCTGCTTTCTAGAAGAGAATCTTTCTGACTTGCGTTGCAAAGTAAAAGTTTTTTCTGGCACCCACCTGGCAACCATTCTGAATTACTCAGACACGCACACAAAAACAAAAGTAGCCATGTTCTAAAGTTTGGTTGCCTGGCTGTTCTTGAACTGTGCTGTCACTGTGCTTTGGCTCCAGTGGCCCAACCTAAGCACAGGCAGCGATTCAGACCAGAAAGATCATCAGTTTCCTTCAAATTAATCTTGTGTTTTAAAACCTACGCATTTTTTGAAACGCTTGATCTCCTAATGGAGGCATTGTTTGTCTAATTTTAGGGATGTGTCATCTGTTGAACTCTTAATGAATAATCATCAAGGCATCAAAGCTGAAATTGACGCACGTAATGACAGTTTCACAACCTGCATTGAACTTGGGAAATCCCTGTTGGCGAGAAAACACTATGCATCTGAGGAGGTAGGGTGCTACTTTGCTTTGGAGCTGCAGGATAAATGCAGCTGGTGTCAAGATGTAAAATGACTTCATTTTATATGTGTGTGTGTGTGTCATAGAATATGTGTTTACATTCATATACACACACACATATATTTTAAAACTTCTTTCCTGTGCGTCCAGAATAATACATTTATGCCAGACTCTAGGGCCAGGCTGGTAAATCTGTGGCACAGAAGATAATTTTTGAGGGCCGCAGGTTGAAAAATGGACTCCCCGTCTTCCCCATCAGTACTCTTTCAAGGTGATGCCACTTGTCCACTGAATATGTCCTAGATCAGTTTGCTGTTGAGCGCATGGTTGGTGATTATGGTTAGGACGATGGTAATAAAGAGGTAAATTATTAGTTGAGTGTGTGGCCCCCTGCATGGGACTGGGCATCCTCTCCAAGAGGTCAGGGCTTTGTCCCTCTTGCTGTCCCCTCTCCTGAATGTGTTTGCTGCAGGGAGCCTCCTCACAACAAGGCAGCTTCAGCAGGGCTGCCCCGCCTTCCTCCAGCCCCTTCTGGAAGGAGCAGTGCCGTGCTTTTCTCTCCTCTCCCAGTCCCCATACAGACTGAGCAGTCTTTAGATATCTCCCAGCTTAATGGTGGTCTCTGCAGAAAATGTATATTTCTAGTATAAAATACCTCATCAAGATGTGGTGCCTTCTATTAAGATGTCCCGGGGATCCTCTTTTTCATACAGATCAAGGAAAAGTTACTGCAGTTGACAGAAAAGAGGAAAGAAATGATCGACAAGTGGGAAGACCGATGGGAATGGTTAAGACTGAGTAAGGACGTACTTTACCTTTCTGCTTTTTTGGGTATCCATGGAAAGCATGCAAGTTTATTTTCCTGGTTTAAGTCATTAATGTTATCGATTAAAGACTTTTTTGAGTTTTAGATGCCTTTTTAGTGCCCCGTTTCACCATTTCATGGTAACTACTATTTTTAAGAAGCTTCCTATGGCATAGTCATTTTTTACCCCATGATTGATCTCAGTGTCATAGGTGGGATTTGGGTGTTCTTTAGGGACGACAGAGGGATGAGAATTTGGCACCTCCCTGAGAGAATACAGATAGAAGCCCCCTCTCCCGTTTCTCTTCAAGAAATCTTCAGTCAACAAGGTGGAAAGTTGGTCTCATTAAGTCTTATATTTGGGGCCCTTAGTGGAATGTTGATAACATAATAAAATAAAAACTAACATCCATTAAGGTTTTGCTGTGAACAAGGCATCGTGCTTTGTGGTTTTTTAATATATTTCTGTATTTACTCCCCAAAGTGACTTTGTGAATTAGATTCTGTTTTTAATTCTCATTTTATAAGGAAATATGTGAGCCAATACAGGGTTTATAATGTACACTATTGGGAATAGCATTTCATAATTGGTATGAGCACTAACAGCCCAATTCAAGCATTGCTCATGAAGCTTTGCCATTCTGTGTTGGAGCTCTGAGCTCTGTCCTTCATATTCTAACCCCATCTGTGCATATCATAGGTGTTTACTAGGAATCAAATCCAAGAGCCTTTTCTGAGAGGTTTGATAGCACACTCTGTTGGGCCCAGAGCCCTCAGAAATCCCACTTTTTGACCATACTTTGTATGTTTTGAGAATCGTGGAGCAATTTCATTTAGTTCAGCAAAACCCACATCATACAGTGAACTGGGCACCAGCTTGTACACCAGGGACACAGTGATGGCATGCACAGCCCCTGCCTTGAAAAGCCAACAAGTCCCTAGTGCAGAGGTAGCATTTTCTTAATGTAGCCATGTTGGAGGCTACCAAGGTGCTGAAAGCAGGCAGCTAGCCAGCTCCTTGGGACACTGATGCTGCCCACAGTCCATTTTTTACCTTAATGACCCCAGGCTTTGCTGCATGAAATGCAGTGAAAATCAATGTTAGCTATAGCGCAAAGCCAGATTCTAACCGGCCTTCTCATGACCAGAGTGGAACTAGTGTTCTGTGAATGAAACAGAGCAAAAGCCTTGTTTCCCACCATCTGTAGTATTCCCATATTTTTCTCTCCCTCTAAAACCCCCACAATAAAGCACAGAACCACCACCCAACAGAGGGTGAGTTAAAAATGCCTGCACCATCTGGCTAGGTGTAGATTGTGAATTCCTGCAGGTCTCTGAAGTCTTAGCTCATGAAGTGGGGATGAGTGAGCAAAGCGTTCACTATAGACCTGTACCGGGCAGTATGATAGCTGCTGTCCCACATATGGTTCTTGAGAACTTGAAATGTTCTCAAATTGAGATGTGCAGTGAATGTATGCCATAAGTATAAAATGCACATCAGATTTAAATTTAGAAGAAAAAAGATTGTAACAGATCTCAGTAGTTTTTTTCATATTGGTTACACGTTGAAATGATAATTTTATACATACTATGTGAAATACACTGTTAAAGTTAATTTCACCTATTTATTTCTACTCTTTAATGTGGCTACTAGAAAAGTGAAAGTTGTGTGTGTGGCTCACATTACGTTTGCCTTGGACAGACGGGCCTAATTTAGAGTAGATGATAACTGGTTATGCAGGTAGCCATCATCAGAGGGCAGCAGTGCCAGGAGATAAGGCTGTCCTGACTGCCAGGTCACCTGCTGGCCAACATGTACTAACTCATGGTACCCTGTGCAGTTCTGGAGGTCCATCAGTTCTCAAGAGACGCCAGTGTGGCCGAGGCCTGGCTGCTTGGACAGGAGCCGTACCTATCCAGCCGAGAGATAGGCCAGAGCGTGGACGAGGTGGAGAAGCTCATCAAGCGCCATGAGGCATTTGAAAAGTCTGCAGCAACCTGGGATGAGAGGTTCTCCGCCCTGGAAAGGCTGACTACAGTAAGTGGCGGCTGGGCCCTTTGCCTTTTGGTGCCATGGGCAGCCTTTTCTTCCTGCTTGCCTCTTAGACCAGGGAATTCACACGATCGCTCCGTTTTGGTTTTTTGTTTTTTTCAAGCAGTGAGGATCTTAAAATGGGTGGTTCCTGTGGAGCAGGACCTAGGGAGAGGGTCAGGACTGTTTACCTCCTTAGTCGCATCCTGGGCACTTGGATTTATGATCCCTTATAATAGCTTCCTGCGTGGGGACTGATTGGTGGCATTTGTTTTTTCTTCAAATCTTCCATTCTCCTCTAACTCTTAAAAGTTTTGTACTTAAAGGGGCATGGCCTTAAAGTTTTCTTTAGAATTTCAGAATTCGAATTCCCATCAAATGGAAGCTTAATCCTAGCCTGTTGTTAATTCCCCATTCCTGATCCTCTCTCTTCTGCCAACATAAAGGCCTTAGAATAGGATTTGTGCACTGGTGTTTCCTCTCCCAAGACTCTTGCGTTCCTGGTAGAAAGCTGATCCTTTGCAGCGTACAAAAATGGTGTTCTGATTTCTAGTTCTGAGCATTTAGTGTTCCTGCATACGTTTGTGTTAAAACAGAGTACTTCTGGTGCATCCATATGACTCATTAAATGGCTTTGTTTCAGTTAGATTATTCTGTGGCTTTTTAATGTGTTGTTTGGGTTTTGGCTGAACACAGATCCCTACCACAGCACAAGCGGCTTCCTTGAGAATTATTGCAGCTCTGTCCCTGGTGTTTGTCTGAGCTCTCCTGGAGAGTCCAGCATGAACCCTCAGGCTCAGGTACTTTCCTCCTCAGCAGAGTTGAGAGTTGCATAGTTAATTTAGAAATTAAACCCATGTTCCCAGGGGTCCTGCAAACAACTCCAAGGAAATTTGCCAGCCCATGGAATAGATCATTTCCTGTAGTTTTAGGTTGTAGCTGCAGTTCCTGTGAACCTAATTCCATTTGGCTCAGGATGTTAGAGCTTCTTCTTGTCCAGTATGGTCCAGTTTAGCAAACTAGACAGGAGGACTTCCTGGATTCTTAGAACCTTTTTCTGAAAAGAGGCAGAGTCTAGGACTCTACCAAACATCATTCTGTTTTCTCTTAGTTGGAGTTACTGGAAGTGCGCAGACAGCAAGAGGAAGAGGAGAGGAAGAGGCGGCCGCCTTCTCCTGAGCCGAGCACGAAGGTTTCAGAGGAAGCTGAGTCCCAGCAGCAGTGGTGAGTCTCAGCAGCTCCAGAGGCTGGGCCCTTAGCCCCAGTGGCCAATGAGGTTTATGGGGATCTTTCGGAAGCCTTGCTTTGCTAGGCCTAACCACATGCCTTGACTGTTGATTGCTTCCACAAACCGTTTAAAGTCTGTATAGTTACATGTAAATAACCTTGGAGGACACTGATTTGTCCACAGTCACACAGCTATGTAGGTAGCAGAAATAGAATGTAGACAGTGCCCTTTCTCGTCGTGTGCACGCACACGCAGGATGCTCAGAACTTCCATATGGTTAAATGCACGGAGCGAACTGCTCAAATGTTAGGCCAGTGGTTTTGTGGTGATGCTTTTTGAAAGTTCTAAGTAACTTCACACAGAGGATAGCAATTCTCTGTTTCCAAACAGCTAATTATTTTGCTATGGTAAGAGCTCCATGGCAACTTCTAATGCTGCCTTTATTTGGTGGGGTGCGGGGCATGGGGCATTCCTGTAGTCATATTTTCTATCTAGAATCTATTTAAAACACTTGGAAGTTTCAGACTTAGAAAGAATTACATTATGTGAAAGGGTCGCACATAGTAAAATTGAGTGATGATGTTCTCCCCACCCTCTCTTACCGTTTCCTCTTTCTCCTCTTCCTCCTTTTCCTTCCTCCTCCTTTCCCCCCTTCCCTAACAGGGATACTTCAAAAGGAGAACAAGTTTCCCAAAACGGTTTGCCGGCTGAACAGGGATCTCCACGGGTTAGTTACCGCTCTCAAACCTACCAAAACTACAAAAACTTTAATAGCAGACGGACAGCCAGTGACCAGCCATGGTCTGGACTGTGAAGTTCACTACCATTTGTCAAGAATCACCCTTTCCAAATCCTCTTGGTTTTGACTTTTTGGCTTCCACTTCACCCAAAATGTTAAAATTTTTACTTAATTCATAGCCTTCCTTGGTTTCATATTTGTTTGCATTTAATTCATGTTTGAGTCTTTTAACTGATGGATGCCCAGTTGCCTTAAAGCAGCATACTTATTTTTTGTTTATTTATTGTGAGCTTTTTACTTTATTAAGATTTTACAGCGAAATCCTTACATGAGTAATTGAAATGAAATTAAATGAGATTACAGCATAATGAAGAAGAAAGCTAGAATCTAACAGGTATGGCACATTCAGTTATTCTAACAGGGCACAGTATTATGCTATATGCAGCCCCCTTTACAGAGGTTATTAACTTGCAGTAGTTTACTATTAACTAGGAAGATTGGTGTATGAGGAGGGAGACGTTCTATACTAAGATTAAAGCCCAAAGTCAGCTGTGTAACATTCCATGAAAGATGCTTTCATTTATTGAAGATGACAAAAAAAAAGGAAGGGGGGAAGTTGGATATATTCTGGAAGCTATTTTAATTTTAGGCACACAATCTCAAACGTTTCAGACCCTTGGGTCATTTATTACTTTTTAAAAACCAGTTCCTCTCTCACTTTTTTTCTGCCAAGTCCTGAATTGAAAACTGTAGGCTTCCTTGCACAGATGTTGCAGCCAGCCTCAGGAGTAAAGTGCCCACTGACTGCTGCCACCACCTCTGTCTCGCTCCCTGTCAGTGCTGCTGGGACCCGGGACGCAGCAGGTTACAGCGGTTCTCAGCATGTTTTAGAAGTCTGCCTTGCAGACTTCCATGCCTCTCCATTCAGCCCATAACTTCAGGGTGTCAAACTGTTTTATTTTTTCAAACAAATGGAACAGAAGCCATTGTGGTTCATCCTGATTACTTGAACGTTGCACTTGGTGGACCATGCCTGGGAGCGCTCGCACGCACCCTGGCTTCAGAAGTCATATCAGTGTCTCTGTAGACAAACTCCACTGTACGTCTTGGATTAACGTTCTGATTCATTGTTCATTTTCTCAAGACATTTTGTGGAATTCTGCGATAAAGAAAGCTTTTAGGATGGTATTTATCAGGCCACCAGCAGGAATTGAAAATGTTTTAACAGAAATCCTTTTCCTTAGAAATAAAAGCTGGTGACAGAGATGGTTTCCTGGTACCAATAAAAACGAAACCAAATCCATATTATTCATCAAAGCCTTGTGAGACATTCACTTGCTCCTTTGCCATACTTAGATGTGTTAGTGGAATCAGAAACCTATTTTGATATGTGTTCTTCATGAGTTAAGTCTGATTTGTCTTTTTATTTCATGATGCATGTCTTTTTTTTCTTTTGTCAGGATAACGTCATATAGCATCTTGTTTGTTTTTCCTTATCTCTATGTACATATCTATCTACTCTGACTGTAGATGGGTATATAGATAGATGCCAAGCTTCTTATGTTCGGGGTTAGTGTGCATCATTATTGGGTCTCTGCCTTAAAACACGTCAAAATTCATTTTAGAAAAAAAACTTCTGCTCTGTCTTTGGTCATTAGGGAGTTCTAATGTGTGTTTCTGGCTCCAAATTATATTTTGTGTTTGATTGATCTATATGTATATATGTGATATTTTCATATATATATATATATATATATATGTATGTATTTGTGTGTGTGTATGTTAAATTGTGTATCATCAGGACTGATACCCAATTTGACACGTTTTGTATCCAGAAGACCCTCCAAAAAAGGAACCACATAAGCACACAAGAAAGGAGTGCTATGATGCTTTTAGCATTTGCTATCATGCCTATTTTTATCTAGATTTCTAAATTGTAGCTTGTCATAACAAAACTTTAATTACATTGGATTGTATCAGAAGAAGAAAAAGTCTTTTTATTGTTTTGAGTGATGACGCAGAGACTCAAGTTAATGCACTTGAAAATAGCATTGCTTTGTGCACTTTGAAAACCAATCAGGTGTTTTCTGTGCTACTAGTTGTCACATTGCATTTACGTTCACCTCATGATTTAAGTATCTCGGGTGTGCCTAGCCACTAAAGCACTCCGGACTAATCGCTAAAGAGAAGCAATGTCGGGGGGCGGGGGTTGCTGGGGATGTGTTCACATGTACCCATCATTTGATCATAGCACTGTGATTGCTTTTGATGTGTGTCTCTAGTGGTGTGTTGTCTGTTGGCATGCTTAAAGCACATGTCCATTAAAATTCATTTTGTTCCTTTTATTTTCCTTGTTTTCTTGGTTAGTGATTCATTTGCATAAACATTAATGATCTCTGCATACTGGTTTGGGGTTTTCTCTTTCCTTCTAACCCTAAAGAAAAAATTTTTGCTGCAGAATTTCCCTCTGAAGAGGCTTCCCTGGCCTTCATCTACCTTGCAGTGTGACCAAGTATGATAAATTTTAGCCGTTTACAAGGAAACATCTCTCTTCCCAGGTCATTGCTGTCACTAGCAGCTTTCAATTCAAACCTGCAGCACTAAATTTTTTTTTAACCTGGTTTCTGTATATACTAACCCCATGTCTCTCTGGACTCATACCTGGCTCAGGCCTTCCAGACCAAACTCATAATTCCTCCTCACCAGAAGTTTCCTGAAATCTCACTAGAGGAGATTTTCTACATTTAAAGTCCACTCATTCTTTTGACTCAGGGATCTGTTTTTCAGTTATTTCCCATCCTGCAACTCTCCTTTAAAGCTGAAAAGGAGAACTGTTTAAGGAGTCTTTTGCTCATAAGCATGTGTCTACAGTCTGTCACTTGCAAGGCCTGGGTGATCACCATGCAGCATGCATGCACACATCCCCCTGCTCCCCTCCCCACCCACCACAAAAGTCTTTTTGTCCTAATCATGTATTTTCCACATTGCTGTGAGGATAAAAGGTTCCAATCAAAACCACCCTTAAACTCCATAGTTTCTAGTCCTCCCTCAGCCCTTAAGCTAAGTATGATAGTTTGCCGTAGACATAACTTGTGATTCTCCCTCCTTCTGGAGCTATCTCCAGCCCTTTTCCCCCCAAAAAATTAGTTTTGTTCAAAATCAAGCATTGTACCCAGCCATTCAGATAAAACCTAGTAAGTGAGAGATCAGTTCCCAAGAGTTGATAGATCCAAGTGTTCACATGGTGGTGGCCAGTCTACCGTTTAGCCTGTCAAGGTTGTTACTGCTAATTTGGTGTCACTTTGGTTCTGGGCAGCAGTGGTGGGCGACGTATCTAATGAGCGTGCCATTGACTCCTCCATGTTTGTCTGTGTACGAGGGGTGCAGGTTGTCTGTAATCCACTAAAGTGTCAGCCACACCCAGCTTTAGTAACTCGCTAATCCACACCCTGGGTGTATCAGCCAGGGGCTGCTACAGTTAATGGTACACAGTTGATGGTACACAGGCTGAAAATGATAATGAATCAAGACCCTACTACATTTCCAAAGCCGAAAAGCCATGAGGGTTACAATTTAAATGAGCTTGGGAAGAAACGCTCCCGAAGACGTCTCCAGCCTGAAGGGTCAGAGCTGCTGGAAGCCTGGCTGTCTCTGGGCTTTCTCGTCTCAGTGCAGCAAGGCACCGTGATCAACCAACCTGTGATGGGGAAGGCCCTGGTTCTGTCTTTGTTTGGGGGTAAATAGCTGTGTGGTGTTGAGTGACTGTGATTGGCTTTTCCAGCTCCTTTAACACAAACTACAACCCACTCACGATACAACTTCGGCAGATGTGGTCAAATTGACGTTTGTTGACTTGCCTCATTTCCTTCCAGCTCTTAAGTTCCAAAGTCTAACTGGGATGGTAGATGTGAAATGCATGATTGTCGTCCTAATTTCTGCATGTGTTTATGACAATGTGTTGAGGGGAGGGGGAGGAGAGCCAGAGAGCCTTTTCTAGAACCAAGGTCTTTCCTTGTCTTACTCTGGGGGAATGCCATGTAGCTCTGATAGAGTTGTCTATCGGTCTGTTTGTGAATGCCCTTTCGCTTAAACTTCCAGCCCTTCTAGTGGCATCCTTGGTTGTAAGGTGGCTGCTGTATAACGTCCACTCTCTCTCATATTTAATATGTGTGATTGTTACTGTTGTCGTTTTGTTTTAAAGTAACCATAAGAGGAGATTATCTGAGTTACATTTATTGATCAGAGGAGTAGAGTGCAGTAAAACTCATACTGGCATTTTGCTTTTCTCATTTCCCTGTAAACGGGCGGGTATTAATCCATTCCCACCTTCTAATGTCTTTGGTGTCCAGCTGGCTTTGTGGGTGTGCAATGGTTTTACTGTACTGCCTCGATCTGTGCCAGGCATTTATACACAGCCACGTGTGCAAGTCAGGTAGAGCGTATGTGGTCACCCCCATGGCTCACAGAGTTAGCTGAATGGCCTCTCCGCTGTCCCCAGATGGCAGATACGGTGGATACAAGTGAAATGGTCAACGGCGCTACAGAACAGAGGACAAGCTCTAAAGAGTCCAGCCCCATCCCCTCCCCGACCTCTGACCGCAAAGCCAAGACTGCCCTCCCAGCCCAGAGTGCTGCCACCTTACCAGCCAGAACCCAGGAGACGCCTTCGGCCCAGATGGAAGGCTTCCTCAATCGGAAGCACGAGTGGGAGGCCCACAATAAGAAAGCCTCAAGCAGGTAACAGCAGCCGAGGCTGCCACAGTAGGATGGAAAGTCAGCCTGTGAGTGGATAAGGCGGGCCACTCTTGAGTCATTAGGGAAGCATGTATTTTTGTTGTTCCATTTTTTTTTTTTGGTAGTTTCCTGGACATTGCATTCTTCTCGGGCTGACACTAGAAAGCGGGAGTAGAATGCTGGTTATCCACTGAGAGAAGGAAGAGTTATGTTTGGATGGGAGTAGCTAGAAGCAGCCTTAGTAGCTCATCTGGAGAAGGAATTTGCTAGATTGAGACTGAAGAGTCATCTTTACCTAAAGTGAATAATTTCATTTAGGACTTCTTGTGGGTTTTTTGTAAAAAGCCATTCACCGTTTTCCCTGACCTGATCTCCATATCAGCCTTTTTATATAATTCATTGACTCTGAACAGCACAAGTGATTTTATTTCACAGATGGGAAACAGAGGCTCTGAGTGGTTAACAAAGCTCACTTTCTGTGGAAGCCTAGTAATGGCAAAGCTGAAATATGAAACTGCAAAGTCTGTATGCTTAACTAGTAAACCCAACCACCTGGGACTACCATGTCTTATCGTGCTGTTTGTTTGCTATACAAGGGGATCAGAACATCTAAGAAGTGCCATTTGCATTGAGGACAACATAGGGATTTATATGTTAATATATACAAATTAGTATATTAGGATAGTTTGCTAAAATTAGTATATTAGGACAGTTTGCCATATTATAGAGGAAAGGCCACTTTATTCTAATTTAGTCAAAGGTACTGTAAGTGCTAATGGCCCTGGGTCTGTCTATCTGTCAAATTTCCCAGCCACATGAGTAGTGAAGCTGCAGCTGGAGGAGCTGCTGCTAGAGGACAGGTGTGTTTCAGACAAGGAGCATGTCCTGTAGCCCATACCTTAAGAGGGCACTACAGCAAAGAGCACTAAACACCAATCAAAATGAGCTCAGAGTACTAGAGGGTAACTTGCTTTTCTCCAAATTAAGAGAGAGATGTAGCCCTCAAAAAACTGCCCTGTGGCCTCCCCAGACTCCATGGAGTAATTTTTTCTGTTGTTGAATGTTAGCAGAATTTAGGAAGGGCTTCTAATAAGAAAGGGGGGCGATTCAAACTGTTGTATGAGGATTATTTCCATGTTAATCAAATGTGAAGTTCTTTAAGGGGAGTGTGATAGAGCCTTTATCATCTTCCCCCCACCTGTTTTTTGTTTTTTTGTTTGTTTGTTTGTTTGTTTTTAACTGCTCAGGTCCTGGCACAATGTTTATTGTGTCATAAATAACCAAGAAATGGGTTTCTACAAAGATGCAAAGACTGCTGCTTCTGGAATTCCCTACCACAGTGAGGTTCCTGTGAGTTTGAAAGAAGCTGTCTGCGAAGTAGCCCTTGATTACAAAAAGAAGAAACACGTATTCAAGCTAAGGTGAGAGTTACCGTGAGTGGCATGGTTGCCAGAGTGAGTGTGTGTTTACTTCCACTCTGAGGGTTGGTTTTCTTAGACAGCTACTGTGATTAGTTGGTTCTCTCTTGTGCCATTTTAAATCCCCAATAAAGTGAAAAACCAGTTTGGCACATGTCTCAGGCTAGATTATTTGGCAACTGTGGCCAGCCACCAGCTTCCTCGTGGTTAACAGTACAGCTGAGTATTGAAGGATAAGGGAGCTTTTGATTTTATAACCGGGCACCTACTGTTCCCCAAGACTTAAATAGAGCTAGTCACATCTCACAGTTTAAGAGAGGCTTTGAAAAATAGTTTCCCCATCTTTTAAGCTTATCCTGACCCAGGAGATGCTATTCTTTGCTCATGAGTTATCTGGAGATGGGTCAAGTGAGTCATCCTGGAGCTGGATGGAGACAAACAGGAAATGCTTGGATGGGGCCTGGGACCCTGTCCTCCCCTGACTCTCCCTGCAGATGTTCCAGTTGCCCCAAACCATCTAGTTCCAAATGTCTCTACCCTGTAGGATACATATACCTCCCTACAGAGTGGAACTAAGCTCAGAATTTCTCCTCACACTTGGAAGTAGGCGGAAAAATTACTTTATCTTTTAAAAATGTAAAAAATAAACATTTTAGCAGTTAGGATGCTAGTTTACTGATTTGCTCTGTTGCTTTGGGATCTGAAAAGCTTTGGTCTTTGTTTATTTATGTTTCATGCCAGTAGGACTAGGCCAAGGGTTGCAGAGGAGAGAGTGTCAAATGGTTTGACTTAGTAAGCTCTGCTGGTGTGCAGTGCAGGCAGGCTTTTTGGGCCCTGGAACGCTTTACGTTTTGTAAGACGAGGCACCGGCCGCTTGTCTCCTTGGCTGCTTTCCCTTTTGTACTCTCTTCATGCACCTTCAGAGAGCTGAGCTATTAGGGAAGGGCAGCCACCTTCTGCTGCACAACAGCGCCTCTTCCTCTCCACAGCTGCAGAGTGAGTGTGTGTCCCCTCCAAGCCCAGCGACCTCTTGGTGTCGCAGTGATAGGGCTTCTTAATTGTAAGACATACAGTAGAAGAAAAATTGAAGAGACATTTTATGTTTGCCTATTCTGACACCCTGGGACTTGTGAATGTAGGGGATATAAGCTCGGCAGAATTTCAAAAGGGCTCATAGTGTTTAAAAGCTTTCTTCTGAACTCAGTTTAGACCAGTAAGTGATCAGGCATCCAAGTGATCTTTTCCACAATAAAGCCAAATGCTATGTTTGGGGATTTTTTAAATCCTTTCATTGAATTGAAGCACAGGCTGCCTGTGTGTGTCATTGGCGTAATTATATGGCTTCTTGATCTCCAGGGGGTCCCTAGGCTCAGGGGTGACATAATAAGGTTGACGCTTCTGTTGTGACTCCTGTTGTCTGCTTCTGTCCTGCGTGGGATATGGGAGTTGGGGGATTTTTATTTCTCTGTACTTACTTGACTTTTTTTCCTTGAAATTACAGACTAAATGATGGCAATGAGTACCTCTTCCAAGCCAAAGACGATGTAAGTTTCTGAATTTTATTTCTCTCAAGTACTGAGGAGTTTGCAAGTGTTTGTGGGAGAATAGGCTTTATTCAGAATGTTCTTCATGTAATTGATGATCATTGGTGGTTTCTGGGCTCCAGTCACCAGCACTAGGAGGTGTTTGGTTCTGTCCCTAGAAGGCAGTGAATATGATCCTACTGTCCCCAGCCAGGCAGGATCCCTTGAAGTTGATGGAGGGAATCTTTGCCTGTCCCCTCCTAGGGATGAGGCACAGTGAGGTGGTTCCAGGACTGGATGTGGATCGTGATGGGGACCCCTGCTGCCCCCTCTGCCCATAGCTAGCTCTTTCATGGCTGGGTACCTCACCTCAAGGAAAGAGAGGGTCCGTTGATGAAAAAACAAATACATAGAATGCTTTAAATATAAACAAGTACCTTCTAGGGTAGGATCTGACCACCTCACAAATTGAGACCAGTCTTGCAGCTCTTACAAGTTAATAGGGCCATATACCAGGGTGATGACCTTCAGGTACTGTAAAACTGAATTCTCATGAGAGGCTAAACCAGGTTCCCTCTCCTGTACTGATAAGGCAGAGGTACGTTTGGGGACAGTGCCCAAAAGTGATTCTCCTCACCCCTCAGTTGGCCACATGCGCCATCCCCAAGCCTTGGAGCCAGAACCCCTGACGCCCACCTGTCTTAGTTGAGTGTCACCTGTGTCCCTTCCTCTGTCCAGGAGGAAATGAACACATGGATTCAGGCCATCTCTTCCGCCATCTCCTCTGATAAACATGAGGTGTCCGCCAGCACCCAGAGCACGCCAGCATCCAGCCGGGCGCAGACCCTCCCCACCAGCGTCGTCACCATCACCAGCGAGTCCAGTCCCGGCAAGCGGGAGAAGGACAAAGAGAAAGACAAAGAGAAGCGGTTCAGCCTTTTTGGCAAAAAGAAATGAACTCCTTTCCTTTACCTCCTGCCCTTCTCTTACCTTTTCAGTGAAATTCCAGCATGCAAGCTCAGAACCAACACATTACTCTCTGTGCCTAATGTTCCTCAATGTGTTTGATTTTTTTTTTTTTTTTTTTAATTTATAGAGCATTTCTGGGGGGTGGGGGAAACATACCTAAATACTTTATCTCCAAGTTACAAAAGTTTGAGGTGCAGAGGGAAGGCCAGATTTTTTTTAAATGAAATTATATAGATTAGATCTCAATATTTAAACTGTTCCTCAATTTTGTGAGGCTGTGTTGGAAATAACCCGCCTCTAGTGCTGTTGGTATGCAAGGCAGCGGTGCTTAAACAATATTTCCCGTGCTCACCAGAGACAAAACGTACCAATATCCTGACACCGTTCTCTCTCCATTTACTTCCGGTGGTTACCCTGAGTCTTGACTATTAGAAGTGCCCTCGATGGGTCTAACCTTTATAAAACAGATCACATATTATGATCTCGCTGCAGCCACAGTGCAGCTCCACATTAACACTACAGACCAAACCATTTGTATCTGGCATCACTTACTAACACACGACATGCAGCTTTTCTGCATCAACTGCTACGACGGTTAAGAATGTCAGTATACAAGAAGGAAGAGAAAACTGATACTGTTTTAAATAATCTGTAATTTCAATTTTTTTTTTTTTTTGCTGAAATACATTATATTGTATGTTTGAGATAATTCTAGTACAAAGTATAATAAAACTAGATGTATAATAAACCCTTTAAATCATTGGTAAGTGTACAAGTGGTGGAACTGAAGCATTTACTGGACAAAGTAATGTTACTCTAATGGTTACTTGCTCGTGCGTTGCCACACTGTTTTATAATTTGCTTCATTTCCTTGCTATTTGATACATAGTGTGCATTTCTCTGTCACTGTAACTATTGTAATGACAAATTTTCATCTTACTGCACAATCAAAATGACATTGATAGGAATGAACTCCAGAGGCTGGGCCTGAACAGGGAGGTGGTCGCTCAGGCCTGGTGCTCAGTCGTACGACCTGTACCTCTCAACTTTTGCCCTATCTGTTAAATATATGCTATGTCATTAAATGCTTTTAAATCTAGCACGGTGACTATTGTTGTTCTTCCTCTGCTGTGTGTGCATGCCCAGTAGGGAAATTGCAAAGGGAGAAATGGCCAACAGGAAATGTTTTACAACCAGTCCAGGCTCACTTGCATTTTCAATGCATGTCTGGTGCACGAGCATTGATACAGCGAACAGTAATAAATGTGACTGTTTGGTAGTTACACATTCAGATTTTATCTTTCATTTATGAAGAAGTTACCAGAGCACTTGTAAAACCCGAGCTCCACGATAGGGGTTGGCAAATTCGTTCTGCAAAGAGACAGAGAGAGTGAATATTTTAGGCTTCGTAGGCCATACTGCCTCTGTTGCTCAACTCTGCTATTGTGTAATACAAAGGCAGTGATTAACTAAACACCTGGGCATGGCTGTCTTCAATAAAACTATTTAGAGACACAAATTTGAATTTCATATAAATTTCACATACCACACAATATTTTGATTTTTTTTTTTTTTTTTTTTTTTTTTTTTTTTTTTGACACAGTTTCACTCTTGTTCCCCAGGCTGGAGTGCAATGGCGCGATCTCGGCTCACTGCAACCTCCGCCTCCTGGGTGTTCAGGCAATTCTCCTGCCTCAGCCTCCTGAGTAGCTGGGATTACAGGCATGCACCACCATGCCCAGCTAATTTTTTGTATTTTTAGTAGAGACAGGGTTTCACCATGTTGACCAGGATGGTCTCGATCTCTTGACCTCGTGATCCACCCACCTCGGCCTCCCAAAGTGCTGGGATTACAGGCGTGAGCCACCGCGCCAGGCCCTTCTTGATCTTTTTTTAACAATTTCAAAATGTAAAGTCTTACTTTGGACAGATAATACCAAAAAGTAAAAAAAAAAAAAAAAAAAAAAAAACAGACAACAGGTCAGGTTTGGCCTGTGGACCGTAGTTTGCCAACCTCAGCATAGAGTTGTGAGTTATTTACAAGTGATACACTTTTCTGGATTATCTCGGTATGTTGGCTCCATGCCACTTACATAAAGCTGCAGTGGATGATGGTATTATGGATGTCCACTAAGTTATTCTACAAAGACCATGCCTAGGGTAGCATCGGTCCTGGGCTCCACAGCCGAGTGGCATCAGAGCTTTCTCTTAACTCTCTTACCTCTAGGTATACTGAGACCTCACCATCTTCTCCCCTGCTTCCCATGACAGTCCTTAGGCCCTTGCTGTGCTCAGGGCTGGAATCAAGTTGTTCCATTCTCAACAGACCAAAATGTTGAGTTAAGGCAAAGCATCTTGGAAACAATTGTGATTAATTACCTTCTTGTACTCTTGACAAAGTGGTGTAGATGGCAAAAAGTTCACAGCAGCAATCCTGGAATCCCGTAAGAAATCCATGCATGTGGAGCATCATGCACATAATTTCAGCAGTTCGCAGATCTCTAGTTACAAAGCTGGGGTTTGGTGGTAGTTCTCTCTTGCTGCCCTTGCTGAGGATCCAATGAGGCCTGAATGTGGAAGATGATGGGCAGCGAGAGAAGAGCGTCAGAAGACCCCCATCAAGATGTGTTCACCAGCAGAAGTTATAGGCCACACAGGGTCATGAGCTTCAAGCCTGGGAGGGTAAATAATGAATTGGTTTGGTTTGGTTTGGTTTTTATTCCTCCACTATCATTTTTGATGAGTTTGCACATTTCTTACTGCTGTAATGCTGTGCTATTTTACCCTGATTTTCAGTGATTCAGTATAGGTGATAATACTGGCTCCTCCATAAATCTGGAGTAGTAAAAATAAGGCTTAGGATATGAAACGGCATTGTCACTTGAGTCAAGGCCAATTTTTGTCCCACTTTGAGTATCTCAAGTTAGGATGTGTCTTCTGATGGCACTTGAGGGTTGTGCTCTGCTTGAACTGGCTGTGGTTTTTTGGATGTACCAAGAGTGATGGTGCTTCTTACAATCTGTGGCATCTTGAGTAGGTGAAACTGTATCAGACTAGGTGATGGACACACTATCGTCTCACCAAGTTCCTGGCGCTTTTAGAATTGCTTGTGAATGGGGATCCTATGTTAGTTCCCCTGGATACATTCATCAGTTGGTATTCCTATATAAAGACATGCTTCCCTTCATGTGGTGGTACAGTCCATATAGGAAAGGCAGGATCAGTGCTGGAGTCTTTATTTGCATTACTTTCCTATAATTGGCATTATTTACAAGTTGGTTCCTAACTAAAGATGAACAATTTTTAAAATACTGGGCTCAAATATATTTGAGTTTTATTCAGGTGAAATCTTCTTTGTTTTTTGGTGAATATATTTTATAATTTTGGATTTGCCTTTCTAAACATGGCCCATAACCAAAAACATTTTAACAAAGAAGAAAAAAGATTTATGTCCATCGAAGCTCAGTAGAGACTTCTCTCTTTATTGAAGATCATAGTGAAATACTGCATTTTCCACTAAAGTATCCTGAAATTATTCATTTGCTTTATTCCATATTCTAAAAACTCAGAATAGCAATACTACTACTACTACCACCAATATAATTACTGAGAACAGTTTTTTTTTTTTTATTAAACTCTTCATTTTACAATACTTATATGCAGTTGTAAGAATGTCCTCTTTACCCAGTTCTCACCAGTGGTAGCAGCTCACAACACTATGGTATAATATCACATACAGAATATTGACATTCAGTCAAGATACAGAACATTTCCACCACCACAAGGTTCCCTCCTGCTGCTCCACCTTCACCCTCTCCGCAAACTCTGGCAGCCACCAATCTGTTCTCTATTGCTAGAAACCGGTTGTTTTCTTCTCCCAGCAAATGGTTACAACAGGATGTAACCTTTCAGGATTGACTTTTTTCACTGCCGTAATTCTCTGAAGATTCATCCAAGTAATACTGCGTATATCAACAGTGCATTCCTTTTTGTTGCTGAATAATACTCTGTCATACGGATGTCCCACAGTTTTTTAGCCATTCACTTACTCAAGGACATCTGGGTTGTTTCCAGTTTGGGGCTATTACAAGTAGAACTGTGAACATTTATGTTTTGAGTTTTCTAGGAAAATAAATCTTTATTTCTGTGGGATAAAGAAATACCCAGGAGTGCCAAGAACCATTTTTAAACAATTGTACATGGTCTCTCCAGTCTTCCCTTCAGCCCCATTTTTAAATAGTTTCACCGCATCCGCAGTGTCTGAGTAAATAACTCTTACTCTCTGCCTCTAAGCCTTCAGTCTTCTACAAATCGTCATATATTTAACCTGCCTTATGTCAGTGTCTCCCATTTTGGTTGAAGCTCATTCCCTTGGCGTGCTGTGTGTATGTGAGTTTCTTGAATTTGCCTCGCAGTTCTCTGGATCAAGCACTTAAAGTGCAGTGCTTTTTTGTTACTTTTCAGAACTGAATAAAGATTTCCCTCAGGGAGAAATAAATTTGAGCTTCAAAGTTTTTCAAGGTTTAGACCCAACTTAACACAAGCCGCCCTAGAAAAACGAGTTTTTCAACTTGTAAAGGGAAAATCCAACTGGTGTGCCTGTGAGAAAGAGTGTCATATCCTGTTTGGGCTTTGAATGTTTTTTGTGAAAGTGAAAGGTCAGCCTTGAAAGCAGGATTTCAGAAAACAGAAGTGAAAGGTCCTGCCCGTTCCCTTTCATGTAAATTAGCGATCACGATGTGTGAGTAGCTGACGCTTCTCTTCCATGCCGTTCAGGGCATTTTCACTCACGTTGGAGAAGCTTCACCAACCCCTCATACTGATGAATTGGGCTGATTTGGGAGAAGGAGTGACAGTGGGTAGAATTATCTGGTAGAATTCAAGTTTTTCAAGGTAATGGCTTATTCTGACTCTCTCTGCAGGGGAACTTGGAAGACCTGCTTCCTCAGGAATGCGTGGGTTTCCTAAGGGCCCCTGTATTAGTTGTCTGACCTGTTTCGGTTTCAGGGTTCCTTTCAAGCTGGTGTAACTGATCAGGGTTTGTTTTTCTTATGTTCAGGGCCGAGTCGCAGCAGGAAGAGGACACACAGGCATAGGACTCTGTAATTGAAAGAGAAGCTGGCCGGAGCTCCCTTCACTCCCTTACCCACCCGGCACCCACGAGGCCTTTGGCTGCCACGTGACGCGCGCGGCTGCTGTGCGCCCTGGTTCCACCCAGCACAGACATCCTGGAGAGCGGCCATGTTGGGGCCCCAGGGGCATGTGGCTTGTGTAAGTTTCCACTTGGCCTTGACTTGTCTTTTCGGGGATATTTATCACACGGTGGAGACACATTGTGTCCGGGAGTAGAAAGGAGGGAGGCAGAACACTAGTGACGTTTCCTGAAACGTTCTTTAAAGGAAAGGGAAATTTTCCTTACGTAAGTCCGCAGGGACTTTCTCCGCAGGGTGGGGCATCCTGCGTTCTGGAGTCCGGGCTTTGGGCGGGAACCTGGGAGCTTTTTCCAGTGGGGCTGACGCCAAGTCTTGACTCACAACATTTCTCCTGGGATATCTGCTCCATTTTCGGTCGTCATTTTAGTTTCTCAGTTATGGTGAGTTATTTGCGATGTTCCTGTTCCTCGAGTTTTGTTTTGTTTTTCTAAGGAAACAGTCACTCGAGGTTTTAATCTCCCATTCTTAGGGGAACGTCCACAGCCCTAATTAAAATGGCCGTAAGGAGCACGCGTTTCTGAACCAGTGCTCGCAGGCGTGCAGACGGGGCCTCTCCTGCTGCCATCTATTACACGTCTGTCATCTCCCCACTTGGATTTTAGGAGTCTTGTCTTTCCTGGGGACACGTGGCTGGATTACTTCATCCAGCTTGCTCAGCCTCTGGTCTTCTGGAGAGAGAAGGTAGACGCTGAGGCCAGACTGAATGGTGGCTCCTTTACCTCCCAGCCCCGAGACAAGTATTCCCTTGTGCCCTCAGTGAAGCACCCACCACAGGCCAGCCACGTGATGATGATGAAGACGTTAGACGCCTCTTGGTCAGCTTCCTCAGCCTTGGTCTCTAAAACAGATGAAATGAGCTGATAAATGCCACACTCCATAAATCAGT